TGTTCCTCAAAAATCTATTTGGGAAATGAGCTTACAAAATAATAGTATGTAATATCTACTATCGATTCTGCTTTCCCTTACTTTACAGATCAGTCCATTTTATTTATCAGTATGCATCGACCAATATGCAAATAATCACATTACAATATCTTCCAATGTCTTCCAAACAAAACAAAAATAGCTAAAGGCAAATATACGGATATAAAATTACAAAATTGAATCTGGTTTCATCAGCCATTTACGTAAATATAAAAATGCTAGTTTATATGAGCGCTATAATTAGATATAGTGTGTTAAGAAATAATACTATTTTTTATGTCATGATATTACACATATTTTAAAGAATCCTTTTACAGTAAAAGTTTATATTGAATTGTTTAGTTTCAGGTTTTGCTTCCTTGTTTAAGTAGACATTTGAATTAAGTCGAATTTTTGACAACGGTTGAACAAAATAAGAATTGTGTTCTCATTTAGTACATTATACATGAAATTTGTAATTGGCATGAAAGTAACTGCATGTTTGCAGTAAAGTAGTGTTAAATTTTCTTTAAGTGAATATGTTTTTTAAAGCTAATATAAATGTTAGATAAATTATACCTCAAACAATCAAATGTTAGCAAAGCTAGTTTCCACAACGTTGCTAAATTGATTGGCATGATCAAATACGATAATTAATCTTTCTGCAGTTCTGAGAACAATGCAATTGTAAGACAGAATACTTAACAATTAAAATTTATTGTAATTAATATTATTATAACACTTCTATTCCTATTGATGTTGTCTGTAAACTTTGTCCCGTCACGCTTTGTCTGCCACTGAATGTTTAGTTTTACCTCCTTCTTGTCTTCATATGAAAAACTTTTTGGGTCTTTTATCAGTTGGAATCGAAAAACCAGTTTCAAATGTCAGTGAAGCAGTAGTTACCACTAGGATAAAATTGCCAAAACAGTCATTACTATCTTTGATTTTCAGGTATTTCTTGATAATATAATAGAAAAATCACTCCGCAATAATTTAGTGGTTTTAGTAAAAATATTTGTCCGGTAATGAATTTCAGTCCGGTGCCCTAGAAAAATTTGCGAGGTTGTAATAAAAGCACGTCCTACAAAATCCTTACTGAAACAAATATTTTAATAAAACCACTAAATAATCAAGAAATGATTTTTTCTATAATATGATCATGAAATACCTGAAAAATCAAAGATAATAATGACTTTTTGGCAATTTAATGCTAATGTGTACTATTTTTTCACTGACATGTGAAGGTTTGTTTTCAATTTCAACTAATTAAAAACCGTGGACAAACTTTATAAAGTTGTATATGAATTCCTTAAACATTGCAATGCTCCGTGCAAGTAGAATATTTGAAGACTAACAGTAGTAAATATGTTTAGTTTATATGTGTTCTTACCTTGTCATGCTCAAAATCCAATTTACCTTAATCAATCTAATGAAGTAAATCAAATTCAATTGAGGAACATGAGGAACGCGTAAATATTCCAAATCAACCCGAAACGATTACGCACCGTGCGATTACCTAGATCAATTGTAATATAGGTGAATAATGTTGTATGATACAAATAATTTAGCTTCATCTTCGTGTCTACAAAATATATTTGGTTGTTAAATTTTACATTGAAATGAGATTCGTTTGACTTTATTCTTACTTACAAAAAAACCCAAAAGAAAACAACTTTAAATGTTAAGTTCCGAGAAGTAACCTCTCTTTCTAATCTATTCATGACATTTCAAAAACTGTTTGCTTTTTTTTCTTTTTTCGACACTTTAAGATTAAAGCCTTTTTTCATCTGATTTAATTTCAACTTGTTGCGTTGATTTGTTTGGTATATTTCCCTCCAGCCGCATAAACCATTTTATTGACGGTGTTGTTCTACTGTATGACGCCCTCCATCTTAAGAAACTATGATCGTTCTCTACTACAGATATGTTACTGCCAGTTTGAATTACTTTTCATTCAACCGTTTTCATAAGGAACTTTACAGAAGACAATCTTAACCCTTTACAAAGGAGATTAATGACTTAGATTCATAAAAGACAATCAAAACCTTGCATAATGCAAACGTGGTTACATGTATTATCATATTTTAAAATTAAATGTCGTATGTGCGTCGGGTACACTCAATATGGGCGGCAAAAGCCGATTATATTTACAACATATGTTGTAATGTGGTCTTTTATTTTAATTTTGGAAAGGCAAGGAACTATCTTATTTAAAATTTTGAAGTTTTAGCGTACTTTCTTAACACTTGTGGAAGATGAAACACAATAAAGACCGTTGAACACCTCCCTTTTTAGGTCCATTTGCTAAAAGCAAAATAATATATTAAAGATAGTGCAAAGACCCTGATTGTTAAATTAAAAGGAAATAGCCCGGTCTGGTGAAACAACCCAAATTTCTTTAAATTTCCTTTAAATAACGTGTCCGAGTTAAGATCAGAAATTGCTTGCATTTTACATGTCCTTCATCTAATGTTACTTATAAAAGATTAAACAAGTTAAAACTATTTCATGTTTCATACAAACTAGAATTTGAACTGTTACGGTACTAGTTTATCAAAATTAATATCGATTTAAATATTTTCGTTCGATTGTATTTAAGATATAGGAATCTTGGCGCGCTCGCCAAACCACAATTGCTTGTTTATGATTTGTTTTTACAAAGACGAAATATATTACCAAACCATCTGTTCACATTAATGCAAAAAGCATATATATCTTTACGAAATAAATACACTTCTTTCAAAAGTTATGCCACGGACGAACTGTTGCAGATATTTTATCATTGATAACATAAGCATGTTTACCACATTTACATAACCAAACTGAAAATATAGCACTACCATATTGAGACTCTTAATAAGGTGTTCCGTAACCTTTTAAGAATTTCAAATGAAATGAGAACTTTCATTCGGAAATATTAATAACATACCTTGAATGTTGAATGTCATTGCATTACTTAGTGGACCTGCAAGTCCATGTTTTATTGCGATGTGTTTCGTTCACTTTCAGTAGGGTGAGCGAAAAACGTCCGTTGCCGTGACAATGCCATCAATATAACAACGAATTATTGAGCTAGCCATCTACAAGATATTGACCATTTTTGTGAAGACATGTCTTTAAACTAAAGGAAACTAAAGGTTTTAGGTTTTTTAAGATTTGTACGAACTTTAAATATCATTTTTATAATAGTACTGTACATGTTTTTCTACATTCATAAGAAAACAACCAGAAGCGGCTTTTTTCGACGAATGCATGGAAAATATTCTCACATAGATATGACTCGTCTTTCTTGGAGCAGTGATTATTAGAAATTTTCGCTGAAAATGTTGTGAAATATATCTTACTCATACGCAAAATGATTATACATAAAATAGTAACATTTTATCACGATGATAAATATAGCTTTACATAGAGTACTTATAGAATGTTAACGTTTTAAACACGATTCCAGTTCCTTAAATTTAAGAATATTTTGCAAAGTATGGGACTGTACACCGGGTATAATGGTGCATTGAGTCAGAAGAAAACCGAAGAAAATTAACAGAGGTATGGAAATTATATTCTCAGTAATAACATTTGGGAAGCATTGACATTTTCTAAAAAAGAAAGGCTTAACTACGAGGGTTGTTCAAAAAGTAATATGATTAAGTGTCTTGCATATTCATATTTCATTCAATTAAGAATATTGTCATATGTACAGCAATCGTAAAGTGTTCTCTACAATTTAAGCATAAGTTTATTAAATTATTTTGCTAAACGCGTGTTTTCTGCAGTTTTGAATAACCATGGTAACACGCACCCGGCGCAGCATATCAAAATTGTTGTTGAAGCTAAGTTGTACTTTGTGTTAAACACTAATTTATCGCATTTAACTAGATATACGTGTTATCAATAAATTAATATAAAACTGATTAACGGTAATAATTAGTCGTATTTTCCACAATTTTGTTTAAATAACTGTTAGACTGTGCTAAGTAGAAAAAGATGCTTTTCAATTAATTTATATTTTTATTTTATAATCATATTGTTTTAAAACGCACGGTAACATGTGTAAATGAATTATATAAATCGCCTTTGCATTAACATTTAAGTCCATGCCTGTTGAGTTTCAAGATTGCTCAAAATATATAAAAAAGCGGATAATGGTCGGCTATCGGGCATGTTTTGATATTATTTTTTTTGAGAATGGAACGAAATTGTGATGGCGTTTTTCCTCGCTTCGTCTCCACATATGAAGCCTGGTCATAGTTACATGATTTAGACACCTAGAGCACTATCGACAATACTTTCAGAAAGAATGACGCTTGTTACATTTTGTATTAATTTTACGACGTCAAGAACGTCATTAATTGTATTATTATCGTGCGCCGGGTTTCTGACCCCTTGTCATTTAAAAATTTCACAGAATTGTTATTTGTAAACATTTTGTATTGATTTTTTCACTGTATATAGAGAACATGTTCCGATAATTGTCTCTTGTAAAATTGTGTACATCAAATAAAAAATGTGAGCAGTAGAGCTGCAGTCCTATTACTTTTTGAACAACCCTCGTACATGTTGATAATGAACGCAGGGCTTTTGCTTTTTTTTAGGACAATGAACTTTATTTGTTTCAATCATTGATTGTAAGATATTTTTAATATCACCGAAAGCAGACTTTCATGTTGTAAACAATCTATTTAACTGAGGAATATTATGAATAATTTCCAAGGTAACCAAACATGAAGCTGATATATCAAAAACTCAATTAAATGGACTAAACTTTTGTTAATTAGATTCATTTTTTTATGGCGATCGTAATTTTAGTAAAATTCAACATAGTTACAACACACAAGAGAAATAATTTGTGGTTCCACATGGGTAAACATCCAAAAAAAGAAGTTCCTTCAAAAAACAGTGAGTAATTACACTAGGTTAACTGTCACTATGAAATTAAAAAGTATTATATTATAACAGAGCAATCATATCAAAATATAAAATATGTATAACTAAGCAGTATTTTTGTCAGAAAATATTTTATTTCAACATAATGATCTTAACGTTATGTAATCAAACGTAATATAGTACATGTTATAAAATACACAAATAAGTCATTTTCAATAGATATAATTTATAGAGATTTAATAGAGATTAATTATTTTCTGAAAATACATGAGCACTTTTAAATATTAAATCTACTTACCAGAAACAATTTCAGCAAGAGGGCAAAGGTGATGATTTTACCGATCATTTGAATATTTAGGCTTGATATGACACGGAACAATTATCGATAACTATGAATGGAAAGCAGATATTAAGTCTTAATTTTGATTTGCTATTACAGTGTTCATATCTGCACCTACATAGTAACAAGACTTTCCAAATTTGGGCTGTGTGACCTAATTTATGACCCCAGATGACCAATATTCGAACTTTAGCAAACATTATTAAAACAAGGTTATTCTGGCTGTGTGATATAGTATTAACCTCCTGATAATTCATATTCAAATTTAGATAGAAATCATCTGAACACCTTTTCTGGTAAGTTTTAGAAATTAGGTCCAAAAATGTAACCTCTAGAATGTTAACAAGGTCTTTCCGTAAGGATGTTTATATTTTTTCGATTAAATTTTGCAGACATTTTGGAAACATTCCAAGTTCTTTAATAGCAAACATATTTTAGGGACGGTCAGACAACATGACTGACCAAGGGCAGTTCTAAAAAATATCTCTGATTGTATATAGAATATAAACTGTTTTAAAACAATGTTCTTGCAGTAAAGAGAAAATAACGTAACGTTTCCAGAAGGTGAAAAGCTAGCTCACCAGAAAGAGTGGTATATGTCTTTATATATAGAAAACATTCCCTTATGTTAATTTGCCAACTTTTATTTTGCATATTAATATGCTCATTATCGGTAATATGACGTTCTGCCAACGTTGTTACAAACTCCTCCCCCTCACAAAATGTAACGATTCGAGGCACACAACCCTGTCGGTGAATAGCTTGTTCATCACCAAGAGTGGTTTGTGTCCTTAAATATGGGGAACATTCTCTTATGTATGTCACCAACTTTAGTTTTTACATATAATAATGCTCATTATCATAATAGTCTGCATACGTGGTAACAATAACTCTTGAAATAAAGATGCTAGACCTGTGAACATTGTCCTACATGATATAAGTGGTGACAAGAAACAATCATATGAAGTCTTAAGTAAATACAATTTATAGTAATAAAGGCGAAAAGTTAAATATATAACAATTTTCACATATACATGCCATTAAAAAAGGAAATTAAAAGAAATATATAACAGTTTTCAAATAAATTCAAACTTCAAAATGAAAATAAACATAGAAACAAGGTACTAGACTCATACATGTAATATCATATGATGAAGGTGTTAATAATGGACTTTCTTTTGAAATTGTAAGTATATCCATAAAGAAATATGAGTTATGGAACAAAAAGGGAAATTTAAAGTTTTGAAAATGTGGACGCTAGGTTTATAAACCTTGTCATATTATGATGTGGTAGTTTGAAATTTGAAGTAAAACGTGTAAAAATGAAACAAAATTATAGTTAAAAATTCAGTTCAAGGGGGACATTGTACCTTACAAATTATAGAAGTAATAGAAAACAAACAACATATTTTCATGAACATTCTTAGTTCAGGAACGATAATTTTGGTGATAAAGGAGCTAGAATTATGAACATTGCCACGTATGGTGTGCGTAATGATAAGAAATATATATTTAAAGTTTGAACTATATTCAATAAGAAATGAAGAAATTATATAAAACTAGAAATGTGTCGTCACGCCACGGATGCCCTCGCATGCAGCTTAAATGTCAAATGTTATATTATTTAGTTCCAAATTTGTTTACACAAGCTTTTTTTTATTCTAAGTTCATTGACATAAAACAATTCAATGCTTACACAAACCATTTTATGAAAAGTTCAAGTCCATGGAACTGATGTATCTATATGTCAAATTTGAGTTAAATGTTTACAACCGTTAGGGAGATAGTGAATGGAAACTGAAAATTTCTTTTTTCTTTTCAAGTTCAAGAGTGATATCTCTTTTAGAATTCATCAAACCATTACCAAATCCGAACTTGACTGGCATATCCCTATGACATATACATATGTTAAATTTGAGTCACATGTGAACAATTGAATGGAACTTTAATATCTCCTCTCTTTTTTCAAAGTTAAAAAGCATAACTCTTCAAAAAATCATTGAACCATGACCAAATTCCAACTTGACCTACGCATTCCTTTGCCGTATCCATATGTCAAATTTTAGAAGAATGTGTACAATTTCCTCTCTTTTTTCACATTTAATAGGCCTTTTTAAGGTAAAGGAGGCATAACTCTGCCAAATATCATTGAATCATGACCAAATTAGAACCTGATCTTCACATTCCTATATTCAAACACTAAATTTGAGTAAAATGTGTTAAACTGTTGGGTAGAAAATCGACGGAAATTGACAAAAAAAAATCAAAGTTAAGGGGCATTACTCAAAAATCATCGAACCATGACCCAATTCAAATTTGACCTTCGCATTTTTTTTGCCTTATCCACATATCAAATTTGAGATGAATGTGTACAGCTGTTGGGGAGAAAATGAACCAAAACTGAAAATTTCAAGGGTCATAAATCATTGGACCATGATTAAATTCAAACGTGGCCTGCATTTTCCGATGATATACCCAAATATCACATTTGAGTTGAATGTGTGCAAACGTTACCAAGATATTGAACGGAAACCGATGATAACTGAATGACGAAAAAACGGGATAACACTATATGCCCATGCCATTTAATGATGGGGGCATAAAATACTTTTCTTTTAAAAGATCAAGGAGGGTGGGGGTTAATCTGATGATCTTGACGTGCATAATCTCCATACTGTTATATGTCTATGAAGCTATTTTCTGTACATTTTGAGTTATCACAAATATTGTTATATCTGTCATAGTTTAAGTCTATGTGTTGTCATAGCAACCGAATGTCTCAACAGAGGAAGAAATAAAGACGTGAATTATCACGAGACTGCCACATCATATTTTAAGTTTCATAAAACTATTTCCAGTACTTTTTGCGTTATCATGGTCTCCAATTTTATGAAGAACGAACAAACGTTATAACAGTTTAGTTTTATGGGACTATTCTATTGTTCTAAAAAGCAACATTAAACAAATAAAAACATTAAAAACGTTACAAATAAATAGAATCAAAAGAAATTGACTGTAACCTAAAATGTTTGCTTGAATGGACGGACGAAGGGTAAACCTAAAGTCTCGTTGGCCCTAGCTGTACGAGTACAATCACAAAAAGATCTGCCATTGCCAAACCATAAATTCTTCAAATGTATCTTTATTGATAGGGTACCTTGAATAGATTATTTTTATGGAATTGAAAAAAGGAAATTTATAATGGGAAATAAATTTTGTAAACAATATAACTGACAGCTGGAAAGAAGACTGAAAAATGCAGCTTTGTTCGCACTATACAATGTTTATGTAAGTTATACAATGTACTATGTGTTAACGTAAGTATGTGTTTATGTTATTAAGTATTGTTTGCATAAAATGTATGGAAAATAATCACTGAAAGCAATAGTCGTATGAATATAAAAACTAGAGGTAAATACACAATAAAGCTCAGTACATGCGATATTTACAAGGAAAAAAAGAAAATTAAGTATATAACACAAAGGGCAATACGTTATGATCAAACTTAACACTGTATTTTTGCACAATAACACTACTTCACCCATAAAAATTATCGAAATCTCCTTTTTAGTCACTACTAGGCTTCGCCAATGATATAAAGATATGAAACATGTATAGGGCTGTAACTTGAAAACAGCAACAAAGCATTATTCTCCTTATTTACTTTACTGCTTGTTGATTGCACCTATCATGTTTATACTTCCTATTGTTTTGAGTTATGTCTCGGAATAGAAAATATTTATTTTCAAAAATTAAGAAAGCAATTTATGTAAAGGAAGATTTTGCAAAATTTTATACAGTAATTTCAAAAGTATACACTGGCGTTGTTTGCAATTAACATTATCAACCATAAATTTTTTAAGTATTTGACTGAAGCTCTGCAAAAAAACTGCTAAGGCATTATCATTTAATGTCAATGATTGCATATGAACAACATTGTTTTTAAACACTTAACTTGTCCATAATAACATCTTTTCTTTGTATATAGTTTCATGTTGATACATTTCATAGAGATAACTAAAAGAAAAAGAAAACCCAATTTCTAGAAACTTATGCAAAATAGCATCATGGTTCATAAACATTTCATTTTGTCAATGATCTTTATCAAATTGTTAAGTTTCTTGTTGATCATGGTGTAGTCTTTGGCAAACATTAAGTATGAAAAATTACAGATGACAATTACTTATATAATATGGAAAACAATGTAAAATTGTACATATACTAAAAGCAAATCGGAACTTATCTATGAATCGGCTTCTTGCTAAGATTAAAATAAAAGGCATGGAAAATAGAGAACAAAATGACATTAAATTATAACGGAAATAAAATCTGAATAAACAAAAAACAAAATAAAACAATGACAATCACGTAAACGATATATTAACAAATGTCGTCGTTAAAACATTCCTCATTAAATATGGCTATATTAACATTTTTTTTAAAAGTTTTTGTTTGTACATACTGATGGAGATAATACAACAAATGTATTTACACTGTTGTTTATAAATGCATTAACATGTTGACGTAACTGTTACTTGAGCATCTTGATGTAGGCATCCACTGCCTGATAGCAAAATTTCACTTGTTCCTGAATTAAAACGTAAAAAACGGTGCATGTTTTTATCGAAGGACAAACGCCATATTATATCAGATAATGCAAAATGATTAAAATAAAGAAAAGCGTAGAACATATTTTCCATTATCATTATTCAAATACTCTTCTTTATATTCATGGTAAAATAGGACTTAAATTCAAAAGTTTAAAATACATTAGTTCAAGTAAATACCATGCTAGTAACAGCTGTTTGCCGTCGTGTACGCAAATGTCTCAAAACATTGCCGACATTAATTTCCCTCTCTTCACTAATCTTCTCTTTCAAAAGTTTAACAGCACAAAACAACCCACTCCTCTCATTTGCTTTTCTGTAATGTTTGTATAGCAGGCTTCTTTTATGATTGTCATATTAAATATTATATCCAATAAGTAAAAATTGAACAATTAAATTTGAAATTTGCAATTCACAATACTTAAATTTTTGTCTTGCGGTACTTGGATTTCCATCTACCGTATGCAAGAAATTATCATCAAGGACAGTGTGGAACATTGTGTATCATATAAAACTAATGTTTAAAACAAGTTATTCCATTTCTAGTTCCTTTTTATAGGTATTTTAAAACTGTAAAATATAAATGCTTAAAGTAATGTAATTTAATAAAAATACTTAAACTTTGACAAACACCTCACTCTGTGCAGAGAAACACCCTTTTGGAGACACCGATAACAGCTTTTGAAAGATTGAAATTATTGTACAAGATTTACTTTGGAAAGAGTTTTTACTGTTGTTAAGAGATTATTGCTCTAAAATGAATGTTCTGCAGATGTTGCTTTGTATGTTTAAATGATATATCAAATCACTACAAGAGGTAAACAAAACTTACAGACAGTGTACAAGAATATGAGAATAATTGTCACTAAACTCGTTGTCATAATTTTCCACTTTTTCAATAAAGTGCAAAAATTCTACAGCACTGACGGGGGTATCTTGTCCGGGTATCCATTTTGTATACTGGAAATGATACGCAACCTTCTCACTGCTGTCAGCCTATAATTAAAGGACGTAGAACAAAACAGACAAGAGGTGATTTCAATTTATAGTTCAAACTGGAAACTTAATTTAATTTAATTTAAATATCGTGAAAATCATTATTGTAAATTAATCTAGCCCCTTTGATTTTGTACAAAAGAAATCAAAAATAGATAATATTTTACGTCCGAAGAACGTGACACAGTTAAAGAGACTAATAGAGGCTGTTTATGCGTGGTAGTGATATCATCCAGCCAACCCCCACCCCCTTTAACACAAAAAACCTGCATAAACATGCTTTGGCTAACTAACATATCAGCATGAAATTATTAAACACAGGTAGAAATGTTCATACGGTGTATATAATTGAACATAAAATGTAACGATTAATGACAAATTTCAGAGGTTACCAGAAGTATAAAGCCTGCTTATTACAAATGAATATATTAAATTTCGAAAAGTGGAAATCCCTCGAAAGCAATGAAAACAACACAATTACTTGACAATTTCAGACTCCGTTTAATTGAGTCTGTACCTGAGGGATAATAGAAAAGTGCAACATCTCTCAAGCGCGCTTGCACAGGCTTAAGTGGTATTAAATCTTCAACACATAATGTGCTGTTATCAAAGACCCAAAAGTATCAGAAAGATAGATGAAATTGACCTGTAAAATACAACATGAAGTGAAGAACGGTGCAAACTTTATACTTGATACAGACATGTTGTTGTGATGTATAATATTTTGAACAGTGGAGATCCATCGGAATCAATGGAATCTGCAAAATGGCATTTGAGCCTGTTCTTGAGGAATAACCAAGCATCGTGTACTTTAAAATATTATTCATTCATCCTGCATAGAACGAATTTAAACGAATACTGACGGACGCGCCGATTTACTTAAAGATGCTAAAAACGCCAATGCCTCTTTGAACGTGCATTAACTCTGCAAAAGACTTCAGACTTTAATAAAAAAAATAAATCCTATTGCCTTATGCGGTTTGCACTTTAAAATCATTATTGCACTTTTGCATATGTTTTTATGGCGCTTACAAACTATTCAAGTAGAAATAGTGACACAACGAAAAGACAAATTGGTTGATTCGGAATTTAAATTGTATATACATATATTCACACATATCTTCACTTACGGGGCCCATATATAAGACCGAGTTGAGTGGCATTATTTCATGCAGTCAGTTTTTATATACGCCACTATGTAGGCATAAAATGAACATTTCCATACAACAGAACTAAGGGGTACTAATTTATATATATCAACTATATATTTAATTTTACCATAGTTGAAAACATATTGACTAATAACATAAAACCCCATAATAAATATACACATTTGTGGGACATATATCATTTACTACTAAAACCGGCCTACGGGCACTATGTTAGAAGGGTAGCCTACGCCCCCATACATCGTTTTAAACATGCCAGAGTTGCGAGGCCTTATGTATGCCCACATTAAATATACACCCCACAAGTATGGTCTCAAATAGACCGATGCCCCGTAAATGGAGGAATGTGTTTGTATATATATATATATATATATATATATATTATATATATATATATATATATATATATATATATATATATATATATATATAATATATATATATATATATATATATATATATATAAATAAATAATACGGATTATTGGCTCGGTATAACTGAGCAACTACCGTTAATGGAAAAATGATTTTCTTAGAATTAACGTGCATTCGGATAGTGAGAAATTGTAAAAGATATTTAGTGTCAAACATATAGCATACTTTAAACTGTAATTCAAGTGAAATGAATCTTACTCTTCCGTTATACTTTATCTTCATTTGTCTGACAATATACTGAGTTTTTGTTTCAAGTCTTGAACAATCAACTGTAAAATTTCCGTAGGATTTTGGGTGTTTATTTTCAGACACATATTGACCAATCATCTGAAATGATTAACATTCAAATTACATAATTTTTAGTTATAAATATTGAACTGACATACCCGGAATTGGAACATTTAAATGACAATTATAAAAGTAGCCTGCTATATTAGTTTTAAAGCGTTGTTCTTAAGACCTACCAATTAGTTGCATTGATGATAATATGTCTCACTTAATCAAGTTCAAATAAAAGGAGTGACCAAACGACTAACACACTTTATTCTTGAAACTTAATAATAGTACTGGAAAAATCATAAATTGATTCATGCATCCATTGATTAGGGTCATAATTAAAACTTGCAAAGTAAATATAATAATTTGTCTTTCAAAATACTGACATTCGTTATTTTTTTTTAGAAATCTATATGTAATTGTTTATAATTGTTGTACTCGTATTTCAATATAACACAAATATCCGATTTCTAACCCAAATAATATCATTGCATGAAAGGCTATCATAATTTGAAATGTATTCTTATGTCTAATAATGCGATGCATAATTTTTGATATGTACGTATATTAAGCAGTATTTTTTAAAGATGTATGTATTGCAGAAATAAAACGAGCACATAATTTTTCAGATGGACTTTTGTGCATTTAAACAATTTAATTATTTTTCAGAGACATTTTTGCATTGATAAACCTTATCTTGAAAACAGTAAATATAGAACGATACAAAACTAAATCTGAATGAATATCCTTCAATGTTGATTTTAAAAGAACTATCAGAGGTTTTAATATTCATTCATTGTCCCAAATGGAACCAATATGTAAACACAACATGAATAATGCAAATACCATTCATGAATATTATAATATAAATGAGTTCTTTGTCTTCATTCAAGTGAAACTGTGTGTTTGCTTGGCTCTTTTTACGTATACCCTCGAAACTAAAATGGATAATATGAACGCACAGTACATTCATAAGGCTGTTAAGAAATCAATTTCGAATCTTACCATTCCAGGTTCTTGCAAATCTTCCATAGTGACTACACAAGTACAATTTTCATTGTAAATCATAGAAATGAAGTCCTCTATCGTGTCCGGCAATGGTGTTTGTGCAACGATTACATGGTCTTTTTTCAAATGTGTCTGTATTTTTGAAAATAAATGAGAATATGCCAATATAGATGGCATATTTTGAAATCAATAATTAAACGCACATTAACAAATTATCAGTAAAATAATCATTAAGCTTGGAATTCAAATCTATTTAAAATATCGTACACAAAAATGGCATTTGGAAATGATTTGATCACAAGAAAGTTTATATGCTTTCAATCCTTTTTTAAACATGAATGTTCATGAACGTTAATTTTACTCCGTTCACATAATCCGCATCTACTTCGCTATCAAAGCTATATTACATTTCTACATTTGTTACAACATCTTTTGTTTATCTACATACTTATATAACTTTTATCTATGTAGCTTATAACATACGTTGATATACACAGCATTAACATAGTCGTGATCACCACATTGTCGTGTGAGACAGAGCATCACTCTAAACCGCAAACCTGAAATGTAAAGTACGAGGATTGATAAAAAAAAGTTCTTGGCCCGATCACTTCCAGTAGTCTTATTTTTCAATATAATTGCCCTCTACATCAACGCACTTTGCCTGTGTCAAAACTTGTTTCATTCTTCAAAATAGAACTCCCTATTTTGAACCTCAAAGAAATCATTGACAGCCTCCATGACACATTCATTGCTTCCAAAATGTCTACTGAGAAGCTTGGTTTTCACTTTCGGAAACAAGTAGAAGTCAGAGAGGGCAAAGTCCGGAGAATATAGTGGATGGGAAAGAATTTCAAAGCTGCAATTAGTTACAGTAGCCATCGCAACTTGGGACGTGTGAGCTGGCGCATTGTCGTGCAGGAGCAGAACGCATTGAGTCAATTTGCCTCTCCTTTTGCGATTTCCTGACGCAGACGCCTCAATTCATCTGCATAGTACGTTACAAATTGAAGCCATCATCTCCCCTGCTGATAGTACGCTCTTGAATTTCTTCGGAGGGGTGAGCCAGGGTGCTTCCACTGCATGCTCTGTTTTCTGAATTCTGAATCGAAGTGATGAACCCATGTTTCATACTGTGTTACGATACAATAGATAAAATCAGGTTCGACAAAAGATATCTTGAAATGTCAAGCCTGGTCGTCAGTCAACTGTTTTGGGACACATCTAACCTTTGACATGCAATATTAATCAGTAAGAATTGCCTGGACTGAACCAAAGCTTATACCCACTTCCGTAGCAATGTTAAGCAGGTCTCGCCTGATGTTGCACATGACAAGATCATTCACAGCTTCGACAGTTTCTTTGCCAGAGGCCTCTTTTGGCCATCCAGGTTGCTATTTATCTCCAATGCTCTTCCTGCCCTTCTTAAATTCAGTAGCCCAATTTTTCACAGTGCTATAAGTAGGGGACTCCTTCCAAAATGTATCAATAAAATCTGCATGGATTTCCTTGGGGGCATCCCTTTCTTACAGAGGTACTTAATGACGGGTCTGATTTCATGTTTATTCCATTTGGTCTTAATGACCCGTCCCTCTACTGATGATTAAAGTGTGTTTTATGTTACTTTGTGTGTAAAACCGCGTGTAATTCGGTCAGTAATCTTCAAGGTATCGGCACCGACGTATTGTGTGTAAATGTCAGTGTAGTGGCTAAAAGTATATCGGGCCGAGACCTTTTTGATCATACCTCGTATATATGTTTAAAATGGGTAATGTATTTACGGAGGCAGTTCAATTAATAATTGTAACGTTTCATATAATGTTAATGGTCATCTCTTATCAGTTAACTTTATCAATTTTCATATAACCGATTTAATTTCAAATGTTTTTTACGTAAATATTTGCGTAAATATTTGCATGTGTATATGCTGTGTCCGTCAATCTGCATACATGTTTAAACATGCATGAGGCAAGAACTTTTTTTAATTTATGACAGAAACTAATATCAACGTCAAGCATGGCTTAAAGATTATACATTTATATAATACCATTATGGTGCAAATTTAAAATTCAAAATAGACACACATCGTAAGACTTGAGTCATGCTGACTGCTCATTCTGTCACACTGAATCGTTGAATTTATTTAAATGGATCATAGTTTAATTTCTGTATTTTACCTGGCACGTCAGCTCCTTGACGGTTGTAAATGACAAGTCTCTTATTCTTGGCTCTCGCATCGGCGTCTTCTTTCTTGTCCTTTTCTACAGACTTACCAAGTTGCTAAAGTGTATTAAATGAAAATATCATCCTAATGGTTCTTAAGATGCCAACTGTCTATGCTAATTTGATATCTCTCTCTCTCCCCCTCCCTCTCTCTCTCTCTCTCTCTCTCTCTCTCTCTCTCTCCCTCTCTCTCTCTCTCTCTCTCTCTCCCTCTCTCTCTCTCTCTCTCTTTACATGTCCTTTAAGTAATACATGCCCATTCACCATTTTCTATAATTGTATAGATTGATTAATCTGAATAAAGCGTACTTATCTTTCCATGAATAAGAATACAACGAAAAACAAAACAGAAATTAAATATGTAACGCATATCTTCCATTGCCATTTTGTATGAATAACATTTAAGAGAAACCATTCAGTCCTAACCTTATATTGATTGCTGTAAAAATTGTCGTTATTGTGTGTAACGTAGTTTTCAAATCGGCCAATATGAATGGTTTCACAGCCAAACACAAGTGCATTTACTAGAGCTTTGTATATGTAAACATATTGTTCCTGAAAAATAAATTGTAATCAAATAATCTAATTATATTATTAACATGCATACCATATCATTTAAATGTAGTAGTTTTTATAAAAGACTGTAAGGATATCATACGAAAACAAAGTCATTGCCGATTAGTACAGTTTAGAGAGGGCAAATAGACATTTGAACTTAAAGTGTTCACTTAAGATTCATTTCATCTTTAGGATTTGTTCATTTAGTTCGAATGTCTATGTTTATGTATTATACGAGACAAAAAATACGCTAAAGATTAAAAAAAGCAATGAAATGCGATTTATCTAATTAAACTTACTGGAGTTTGAACCATTTTGACTCTTTGACTTCTCATATGCTCAACGCATTCGAAAACATTTACTGATCCAATATCTTCACCCTCTTCGATAAGTCTGTCAATAGCTATCAAAGTTCCTGTACGACCTATTCCCGCACTGACATTAATATTCAGAAGTTAAGTATTTCCCTATTGTTCAATTTATAATAAGTTATAATGTTGAAAACTTTTTTGGTATTCCCTAGTTTTCAATATAGCAGTTACGTTGGACTATAACTTGCTTTCTTAAATCAAAACGTAAGAAGGCTAAATTTAAGAAATTTGTATTATATTTTTTACATTTTACAGAAGAAATGAGATAATGCTTATTACCTGCAATGAACAATTATTGGTCCTTTCGAAAACGTTGGAATAGACTTCATACGTCGTCGAAATTCCAGTAAACATGTAGTATCTTCTGGTACAGTCTTGTCTGGCCATGCAGTGAAATGAAGATGGGTTAAATTACGTTTCCGGCCATCCTTAAAATAAGATACAAAATAAATATAAATAAATGAATTTTAAAAAGGCAACAGTTTCTTAACTGATGAAAAAACCTTATTGTATTAAGCAGTATTCGATGGTGATATCTGCATCTTTGTCAGTTTGAGACGGTTGATTCAGATATATGTATTGCTCGTTTGATATTTCTGTTTTGAATGAAAAGAAATTATTTTCTGTCATTGCATATAAAATAATTATAAGACTTTATTACCATTTAAAGTATAGTAAGACATTTTCACTACGGGATACTTTTAGCTAGTAAACAATAAACAGTAAACGTGCATGAATAAAACAACGACCCTTGCCAAAAACAAGAAAGCCAATTGTCCACCTGATGACCGTTTTGATATGTTTTATAAAATTGGACTTTCGTGTTTTGAACCAGGGTCTTTCTATTTGAAAGACCCTGTTTGAACATACAATTGATTCAAAAATTGAAACAAAATGTTTAGATCTTTGGTTTATTGTGTTATGGAATACTTTGATTTTCCTTACCTTAATAATGTGGAATGTTCTGATAGTGTATTCTGCAAGCACCTTTATTTCTTTACTTTTTACAGATATGTCGCCATAGTCAATACATGATTCTCCGGATGGCCAATACTGTTCACATTTCATTCCCTATCATTTCAAAACAATAGATAATCAAATTTCAAATGATTTATAATTCAAAAGTCAAACAGAAACATGAGTATAAAAGAAGTGTACATAATTATCAAATACGTATGTAAATTGTGACATATTAATACGAATATCTTAACTTTAGTTAAATACTTTTATCATCAAACATAAGTAATGTACGAAATGCATAAAAAATTAATTGTCAAAGCAGATACATATAATAAATATATCAGCTTGAACAAAACCAAGGAAGGGGACTTTAAAAGAAAATATACACTTGATACGCGAGCTTTCAACTATTTATTTGAAAATGTATTATAATTCAAATTAAAATAAGTAAACCTATAACATACATTCACTTTGGTAAACATATACATTTATATACATATGTTCATTATTTGTTTGGTGAGTATATCAAAACGAGGGGCAACAGCTCAATTTTACCATTATTTGCAGCTAAAAGTACACGTTTAATATATCGTTGGAAAGATAATTGACTGTTTCTAATCAACACGATTTGCACTTGCAATAAAATTTTAGAAGGTCATTTAAACACAACTGGTCGTAAACATGTTGCATTGTAAATTGAAAGAGGAGTAAAGAGCCAATTGCAAAATTTATGAGTTATTGGGTAAATGCGCATTAGATAAAACACATTTATGGAGATAATGCCCTTCCATATGGTACAAATTTTCAAGTGGATGTTAATGTTTAAGGAAGGTAAAAATAATGTTAAGGATGATCGCTAAAAATACACCAGCACTGTCAGAGCCATGATCAAATTGTCTCAGGAAATGAAGCTTGGCTTTTATTATATTTTATATTTTAACTAAGTAACAAAATGTGGTAAGGAAATGTGACAACAACAAATATCGCTCAGTTGTTGCTCGACGTATCATGAGCGTTGAGAGAGTTATGTACACTCTTTTATGACAATGTTGGAATAGTGGCACGTGTCGCTGTTTTGTTTGTTTTGTTTGGGTTTTACGTCACATCGACACAGTATCGGTCATATCGCGACGTTCCAGCTTTACTGGTGGAGGAAGACCTCAGGTGCCCTTCCGTGCATTATTTCAGGCACGAACGGACACCTGAGTAGAACCACCGACGTTCCGTAAGCTAGCTGGATAGCTTCCTCACATGAAACGTGTCGCTGTGCCCGAGAGGGGTTAACGTTGTGTCTCTGGAACATTTTACCGTGACCATGTTCTCCCTACAATAGTTAATCACTAAATTACAAACAACCAATGGTCCGGGTGCCCTCGATCTAATTACTCCATGATAATGCACCTGCGCACTGGTCAGCCTAGGTTCAAGCTTATTTAGTGGAGCACAGAATAGAGGTTTTTCTAAATCTCGCTTATAGTCCTAACCTCTCTCATTGTGACTTTTGGTTAAATCCATACATCAAATCTTGCATTTAAGGTCGCTCTTCTGTATTAGCAGTACACCCAAAGAACAATTCAAACATGCTTTTTCAGAATGGATTCATAGGATGGAAAAGTGTGAAGAGGTACATGGTGAATATTTTGAATGGCTCTGTTAATCATTTCTTCTCAGTTATGAGTTAATTTTAAAAACGCGCTGCCGTTGCCACTAAATAAACTATGCCCCTCGTTCATAAAATATGAATGATGCAATTTTATTAATTTAAGCTACATGTAATGTTACCGAAGGCTCGTTAAGATTGGTTAGCATCACGATCACTTCTGTTTCTTCATGCCAAACCATTTGCCAGAATGTTTGAAAGTCGTTTGTTGTTTTTGTAGTAGGTCCTGATGAAACACATACAGATGCCATATAATTGAATTAAACTCTTAATAATATCTTAAGCACAAATTGAATTAAGAGACATTCAGTGGGAATAAAAGGAAGTTTTTTTCCTAATAAAGTGCTTAAACACGAAATAACAGTAAAATTTTGTTAAAGTAATTTGTATGCTTACCTAATGATGCTATATATGCATTTCTTCTTTTATAACCCTGAAATATTAAATAAAATTCATGTGTATCTTTTTACTATAAAAAGATGGCATATGTATCATTTTAATGGCAATACTAACTGAAGTATTTAATTATTTGATACTTACATCAATATAGCACGCATTCATGAAGAAATCTGGACAGCTAGGTATTTTCACTCTCGAGTGGTCATCTGCAATAGTGGACAAACAAATATTGAGTGAAAATATCCTGCTTGTCAAGCCTGTGAAAAGTGTGTCACGTGTTATTTAAATCTATTAACAGTTTTATCAAAGGATTTAATGAATTGTTAAAATAAATATTAATTTTGATAATACAGGAAAACAGATAAACAGTGATATTTCATTGACCCCTTAAAATAACGTTTGCTTATTTAAATAGATTATGGACTTACATGGATAGATTCCGTTATATCTGTTAAGAGGTAAATTTTCAGGCTTCCTTGCAAATGTGCATGGCTTTTGTAACCCTGATGGTAATTTCTAAAAACAATTGATATCAATCTAATTTACAATTGAATCTTTTATTATAAAAAATATAAATATATTGTGTTTGTGAAATTTGGTAAGAATTGATGAGTTTATATATATATATTTCATATTTGATGAGTAATTTTATACCTATATTTGCACTAATTCTTTAATATTATAAGTTCTTTTTAAGTAAGGTGCATTTAAAAAATTATAATATGTTACATCTCAAGTCTTTTAATGCACTATATGTTTTGCTTTGTTAAATAAACAGATAAATATTTACTTTGAAAAGCTAGCTAGAACTTTGATAAATTTGGAATTTGTTGAAACATAGAAATATCTCTGAGTCAATTAATCTCTTTATATTCCGTGCTTAGATAAATATACCGATAGTATAGCGTCGTATAATTGTTCGCATGCAAAAACTAAAATTAAGCTATTGATATCACTTCTGTTATTAATAATACATTGATATACATAACAGTCTACCAATATTGATGTTGTATTTTTTATTATTTCAATTAAGTAGATGCTTACATTTGTAATGAACACTATAAAAGGACTTTGAATATCCATTTTTGTGAACATATTTTTTAACAGTTTCGTTTTGTGAGAGAGTCCCATAATAACATTCGTAACAAGAAAGAATTTTTCAGAGGCCACATTGTTGGTAATATCGTTTTTACTTTTTAATTATCGTGCCTTGGAATCATTATATATAGGTTTTTCAATTAAACACGGAAGTGTCGTTACTTTCTTTTAAAATTTAGATATGTTTTATATTTTAACCATATGCAGACGTTAATAAATACGATGAACACTAATAAAATCAGCACTTTTGCAAATGCATTGCCTTAATATGATTATGTTTTTTGTTGATATCTTTTTTTTACTTTGAAACAAATGTAAACCTCCTTTATATCCCACAGTCAAATCATCAATCATACCTCATAATCAATTCCAAACGATTCGTAGCTCTTTTCTAAAACATATGAATATAACTCAGACACTTTAATCCTTTCAATTCGCTCTATTTTCTCTGGAGAATTATAATATTCTGAAGGTTCAGACAAATAGTGTGGAACATCGTCAATTTCTTGAAGTTCTTCACTGTAAGTTTCTACAGACTGATGTGGTTTATTATGTTGTTTTGCTTTAAGTTTTCTATCTGAATGCATAAAACACATCTTGTTACATATATACACTATAGATCATTTTCAGAATTTATGGCAATAGTACAAAATATATAATCTTTTTCAATTTTTATTTTTCCTTTAGCCAATGAGTACTTTTACTTGTTCCTAAGAAACATTTCTTATTATTGTTTTAAAACTATCATGTGAAGCCAAAATTATTTTGCTATACTAGTCGTCTACATTTCATATAAGCATGATAGCAATAAAAAGAGTATGTCTTTAAAATGAAAAATATTGTGGAATATAGACGGCTTAGATAAACTCTTCACAATAGTTTTTGGTTTCTTCGAAGTGTTCGATAAAATTGTTCATAAACGTTTAGGCTTTTGTTGTTTAGTTTTCAACAGCAAACAGAATGGTGAATACGCAATGTAAATTTATTAAAAGCTTAAACATAGAAAAGTTTAAGGAAGTGCATATAAATAAAATAACTAGAAAATACGGTTAAGAAATTTTTCTTCCCATTAAAAACACCTACAAAAGGTAAATTAACTTACCTGTATAGGGTACGTTTTGGTAAATCAGCTTGTCAGGTACACCTGTGTTTCTGTAAAGCATATGCATACATTAAAGCTTTGTTTTAGTTGCTGTTGAACTTTACAATACTCATATCATGATATTAAAAGATTTTAAAAGAGAAAAGGTTATCAAGGGGTAGCAACGTAAAACATATACCAAGTCACGCCCAATGGAAAACATAAAAAAATCCAAATTGCAGAAACTTTATTATTTATTACTTTTCTGAGCATGTTTATTTAACTTACTTATGTACGTCCATGTATTTATCTCATACTCTGTCATTTTCCGACGTAATATTTTGATATCATCAGTAAAATATAAAAGATGAACGAGCATACACGAGTACTTTAAACAATTAAACATGCATGCAATCTACAAATAGTTCATAACCGTTACGTGTTTTACCTTTTTCTATACAAAATGATACCTATGACTAAGACAGTTGTAATAATAATTATTATAACTACGGGTAACCCAGCAACGAGCCCATAATTGACTGATGGATTTGAAGAGTCAGATGCCGGTGCTTCCATTCCTACAACATGAATATGGCAAATATTGAGGTATGATTTGCCATTTTTCAAGTAGAAGATTAAAATTGAAACTCCCAAACAAAACGTCACAGCATGCTACTCTTAATTCCAACTTTGAGAACTTTATTGTTTTAAAGAAATTGTTTATTTTTATTTATTAATAACATAAATATGATATTCAAACATTTGTTGTCATTGTCTTCAATTATTGCATAAAATATTTATAAAACCATAAAACTTTAGTGCCTTGAGTATGTCTTTATGCTTAATTTAAGACAAAAATATTTATCGTGTACACTACATTACAACATACCTGCAGGCTCTATGTAGAAAACGTGTTCAAACTTTCCATAATCATTCCTAATAATAAGCTTGTATTTGCCATAGTCCTCTTTCGAAACACGAAGAATCGTGAATTGAATGTCAACACCTTCATAGGTAATATTATAGTTGTCGCTGTCATTCATAGGTATCCACGATTTCCCGTTATGTTTGTTCAACAGAATGTTGGTTGGTTCAGGATATGCTAGCACTGTGAAGTTTATACTCACGGCTTCATATTTTGATATTTTAATGTTTCTTTGTAATGGCATTGCAGGATTTTGTCTAGGTGAACCTAAAATATTTTTTTATACAATTTCAAATACCAATCTTACAGGCCATGTCATTTATAATTTTGACTTTAAAACGTGATTGCAATCATAAGAAGAGATAAAATTGAGAAGGAGTAATGAAACTCAAGAGAAGCGAAACAACATTTATATTTCATTTACTATTTTTATAAGTTTATATTACTCATATTAAGATATTTGGTCATTCACTTAGCATATGATCTTTTCGTTTAAAATATACCGTAACATAATGCTCAATCTTTCCTTCCTACGTTTAACTGAATTAATTATATAACTCGACAGTAAATCAGTGCTTTATATAAAAATAAATGATGACTGACCTACGGTTGATATATGGAATAATATAGGGTAAAATACAAATTTGCCTAAATATAAAAATACTGCCCCACTCTACAGAAATGTCCTTTGGCCGCATGAGTGATTTATTGTTCAATTTAACGCTAAAAATGTCTTATGTTCAATAACAAGGAATTCGAAAAACTTTTTATTGATGTGAAGTGAGTTGACGACATTTTTATATCACAGGGCTTAAAAAAAGAAAATACAGTCAAATAATTTAAAGTTAGTCGCTGATAAGAAAAAAATATACAAATATATAGCTCAAATATAGGATAGGCTATTATCTAGTTCTTTACTGAAAAATATATCTTTGTTGCATATTTTACTATATTAGATTCCTTAACTAACTAACACATAAACTATCGGATATTACTTATATTGTGTTCTTCGATATATTAAGTTTTTTTCTTATTTTAAATGCAAGTTGTTACCTTTCTAAAAAGGAGAATACAAAAAGGAAGACAGAAGGCGGGTGGTTAAAGTGGAAGATTGTCGAATTTGAACTCACATCTTAAAATAAATAAATATTGTCCAAGGTATGCTGCTTTAAAAACAAAAGAACTTTTTAATTAATTACCTTACGTTCAATACTCACATGTTATGAATAGTGTTATATTTCTTTCAGAAATTTCTCTTTGTTTGATCAAATTGGAACCTCTGCATGTATATACTCCTGTATGAAAACATGTTGCTTTAAATGTTACAGAAAATATTGAATGACTTTCATAAGTAGACTGTGTTACATCAAATGCTTCTGAACTGAAGATGCTCCCTTCAGGTGCTGGATTTCCCTCGATTTCACATGTCAGATTGACTAATTGATTCTCTGCTAATGTAACGCTGTGATTTGCTGTGTAGTTATTTGCTATAAAATTCAATACAGCAACTTTATCTGTAAAAGAAAGACGTAAGATTTTTGCAAATAGTGAAAATCGAAACATACAACGTAACACATGTTACGTTTTTCCATTTGCATAATATATCCTTCTTAATTGCTTTAAGGCTTAGGCAAAAAAAGTTAATTGTCAGCAAAATAAACTATTTTGAATACAGATAACAGTCTGAGATATCTCACTCATAAGTTTATATATATATCACCAACACATCATTTAGTTGAACATGAGATACAGACATAGACACGGTTAGACTGGTAATCAAAACCGATAATTGTGTTTATACTTACACAATACGTTAAGATTGATACTTTTTTTATTCTTCCCATGTTTTGTTAAACCGCCTGTCATTATCATGGTGTTGTTGACCGCACACGTATATGTCATACTGTCTGTTCTTGAAACGTTTTCTAATGTAAAGTTTGATCCGAGCCATTGTTTCCCATCTTTGTTTCTTGTCCACATAATATGTGTCTGGTGAGGATTTCCGTCTATAACCGGACATGCAAATCCGACATTTGTTCCTTCCTCCGCTGTTATGCTATTCATATGTCCAATTTCTGGAGAAACTGAAATTGTTCAAATGAAACCGACATATTACATTTTTCACAGCCGTTTACAGTCTGTTCATTTTTATTTTAAAGTTAATTTCCATAAAACCCAAATTAAAGCATCTATCCCACACATTGTAGTCAAAATGGTTTTCAAATAAAATGTCATCAAAAGATAAACTTTTCACCCAGACTTGTACATTTGTATGTAAGAAGGTGGTTAATGCAGCTCTTGTCTGTCAACGGAAATATCTAATTAATTTTGTTCATAGTGACTTAAAGTATAAAAACATCCGTTAACTTCTTGCAGGTAGATCAGTTGGTTGCGTAAAGAACAAATATGCCATAAATGCACAATATATCATAATACAATTATGTCTATAAAAAGTGACAAAAAGAACATACATGTTAACAGATGTGACAATAGGGTTGTTTATATCTGTGTCAAGTGAATTATAACAAACGTTAGGTCACAGCCACTGAATGGAAACTTAATATTTCACTTATATGCATTTTAATAACTTTAAACCAATTATCGATTATTTTAAGAACCGTTGATATGGGTGGGAGAGGAGCGTTAAAACATGGTATGTGATTACTTATATATGGCAATAATTAAAAATCTTCCTTATTTATAGATATTTGATAATGAGTTAAATCTTTTTAGTAAAAAATAATATTCATTTACGTGATAGTTTAGATCACGAAAGCTTATTTAATGAATCGCACATGACTGTATATTTGGACTTCGTTCACCACTAAAAGATAACATAGGATCAATCATATCAGAATTACAAGAAATATTGTCAAGGTAATTTGTCGAAAATAAAAACAATAAGTATGTAATGTTACATAGTTTTTCTATCGAGATTGTTCTATTGTTGTTCCCTGTCATTGAATTCCCTTCAGTTGAAATCATTGTATTTCTGACAAAGCAGGTGATTTCCTCTGTGCCGTTCCTTGTTAAGCCAGGACTCTGTATAACTGAATCATTTGACATCGTCATTGGATCCCATGAATAACTTGGCATAGGTAAGCTATTGGCTTTGCATGACATAGTAAAAGGAGTATGTTCAAAAACAAGTAACTTGTCCGTGACTGTTATATTTACAACATCTGATTTTGATATGGAGACAAGAAATATTGTCGGCTTGTCCGGAGGATCTGTTGGTGAATGAAAGTTATTGATATAGTTATAAAACAGATAACCAATTAATATTTTTCAATCAAGAACTTTAGTCAATTTTTCATTATAACATATAGTAATATGACTATTTTTAGATGTTTTCTATTTTAATATTTCAGATGTATAACTATATTATTTCATCCAATCATTTCATATTATGATTTCTAGAAAATGACGTACTTCATTTACTGAAAAAAATTACAAAACCCGGTACCTAAAGGTTTTTAAAATGTGTTTCTCTTTAATTCATATACCATTTATATGTGACAAAACCGTTTTCATAATTGTATTGGTAGAATGGCAAAGTGTTTTGTTGTTATTTTTTAAATAACGGCTGTTTGAAAAACAAAAATATTTGCTTATTTCAAAAGTGTTCTTTTTTCTATGATTTTTTGTCTTTTTTTCAATAAAAACACAAGATACATACACAATACTGTCATATGTACATTCTTGCGTGCTGATCCATGTCGTTTTAAATTTCCAGTCATTACCATTGTGTTGTTTGCAATACATGTATATCTCATAGAATCGTTTCGAGAAACGTTATGAATTGTAAACGAACTGCTAAACCAGCGCTTGTCATCTAATTCCCTCGTCCATGAAAAGGTCGTATTGGTTGGATTACCATTTGTAATTAGACATTTCAACACAACTCCTAACCCTTCTATTACTATCTTATCGGCCATTGTATTTATCTTAGGCGGATCTAAAGAAATCGGGTAATACAGTTAAATATCTGATATAAAAATGCATGGTTACTAGAAAAAATTAAGCAGAGCAATATTCAAACTCGATTGTTTTTTTTAAATATAGCTCATTGTTTTATACAATATAAAGGTGTCAATCTACCTGGTAGATTTAACGGTATATAATAGTTATGTAATGTCTTTATAGTTTAAGTAAATTAAAACACTATTAAAATTAAAAACAATCATATAAATCAAATCTTTTTTTACACAGAATTTCCACAGTCACACTTCTGTTGACGTTCACTGTTTCTTGTATTTGATTAGTGAAATTCATAGCGTTTGTTGCATGACAAGTTTCCGTATAGTTCCGCCGTGTGTGTGGGTTTATTATCACGATAGTTGAAATGGTTGAACTTTCCATTCCTGTCCATTTATATGATGGTTCTGGGTTGCTGCTTGCTTCACATATTAATGTATAAGTTTCATTTTCTATGACGTAGATAGTTGTGTCAACTGTGATACGATTGGTAAGTTCAGAATGTTCAAATTTGATGCTGTCAATAGTCGGCGGGTCTTGAAAAGATAAAAAGGCAAGGTGTCGGGCGTGAATTATATTAAATTATAATTATTATATACGAGAAACGATCCACAATTACTCGAAATTAAATTATAGATTCATTCAAATATATTTGAAGTTTATATTAGAAATATATAAATGTGTAAAATTTCTACTTTCAGATAAAACTCAAACTGTAATAAAGCTAATTATGAACTAAGCAATAATAGTTATGCACATACAGCGCAATCATTATACACTTCTAATAAGTGTGCATGTATAAATATCTTATAATCTGAGTCAATATTGACCCTGTCATGCTGGAATTTTCGATATACAAAGGTGAGAGACTTAGTATGATATTCCATTCATTTAAATTCATAACAAACACAAATTTAACATACATGCCCAATAAATGTGATGATGTGTAAAAAGTAAATGTCGCAAAATAATTGCATCTGTGATTTATATTCTTAAAGGGACTCCACTGAGGTTTTTTGACATTGCAGGACAGGCAATGATTTTTTGAAATTATTACACCATTTGATGTAGATATATACCAATAACTGATGAGCAAAATTATTTCAGATCATTAGCTCGCTCCGTTTTTCCAGTATAATTATTATGATAGTGAAAAATGTCCTAAAATTGAAAAGCAAGTAAACGCTTTTCACTCAAATCAAAATGAGAATAGCACAAACATATGATTTTTAATGTATTTCTTGTAAATTTGTTAATAATTTTATTATTATATTTTTTTATTCGTCTGTTTTAAGTGCTCATGTTTATCTATGCGATTTTTTAGGGTCTTTAACCTTAGTGGAGTTCCTTTAATCTACGTACACCTACATTGACTTTAATAACAACATGGCAGTTATAGTTATCGTTGTACATTTAATTTTGAGATAAAATTTAGTCTTAAGAAATTTTGACTCATTACTTGGCGATGGTCTGTTGCACTCCACAGGGAAGTTCAGGACAATTTTTGTCACTAACAATGTGCTCTTAAATGGAAATATCAGCGCCGAATATAACCAATACGACGAGCTTCAAACTACGGTTTTATCAATATCTAAAGAACAACATATGATTGCAGTTTCATCATGATGTCTTGCAAGCACATATCCAGAGCGCCATTATTTCTAAACAACTTCAACGTAATGGAATATCACAAAAATATCTAGACATAAATATAATAGAAGCTATACAGTAATAAGATAAAAGCTATACGGGATAAAATTAACCGCCATATAAATGTTTTGGTACAATGTCACAACCCATCGCCTATGAATATGCAAAACCTCTCCAAAAGTAAATAAATCTACCCAAATATTATGGAAAATATTGCGACAACGCTGCCGGGTTAGAATAAGGGTGGGCATACGATATTAGAATAATTTTCACAGATACATTTATTTTGCGACATTGGCTTTTTAACTCAATATCACATTCATTGGGCATGGTTATTACATTAGTGTTTCTCGTGAAATTTAATACATGGAATATCATAGCATGTCTCTCAACTGTATTTAATGAAAATTTCAGCACGATCGCACCAAAATTGACACATATGTGAAACCGTTAATACATGCACACTAATAAGATTTGTGAAGTGTTATTGGCCGTCATGTGAACCCCCAGCTGTGTAATATGACTCATGGTGGTCATTAATGTCTCACTCGAGTAAAATGAGATGTTGTTTACAAGATTTTTTTTCAGTTTTAACCATTTAATTTGGAACATTTTTATAGAGGACTATTTATATAAAATTTCATCAAAATCGATTTTGTTTAAAGACTTTTGTACCTTTAGCTCCGATAGCCATTTTGTTTAGCAGACCGGAGCTATTTTTATATATGTGTGGTTTAAAGGTATTTTGTATTTTTAGTTCTGGCAGACATTTTATGCAGGGCACCAATGCAATTTAACTACTATAGTTACAGACTGCCCAATGATCATTTCTATAAAGTTTTATCAAAATATATCGAACGGTTTATGACGTTTGAGCAATTTGTTTATAGAAAACGTAAAGTTGCTAACGACGGACGACAGACAACGGACAACGGAGGCCGGACACAGGGGTATCACAATAGCTCATATTGAGTGAGTTCAAGTAAGCTTAAATAAAAAAACAATCCGAATATAGCTTATTTGGGGTAAAACAAAAGTGTTACGAATCAAATAAGTTGTTTAACATTGGACTTTATAATATGGCACTCAATTTTGACGAGCCGCATAGCTAGAAGAAAAAACATGACATGCCATTATTTAGAATTCATAAAATACAAGAAATGCAAAGCATTAAAAGACGTCAAAAAAGCAGCAAGTGAAGATGGACTAGTAGACATCTGATGACCAGATATTCTTATAAACTTTTTAATGGTTAATTGGTTTTTACCAGAATTGAATATCATTTATGAATAGGCGGACAAAAGACATTGTTCATCATGAACTTTGGTAGGCATGCTAACTATTAGAAAATTAAATGTTTTTTGTTGTTTTTTTTTAATCACGGGAACTTGAAATTCTATCAATATTAACGATAATATTCAAAATATACAGGTCTATAATATCCAAAATACGCCCCTATATAAGTTTATGTATACTACTTTGGGGGTATTTTTGGATATTACCATTAATATTGGTTATTTGATAGAATTTCAAGTTCATGTGGTATTTTCTTTGTAACATACAAAATTGTAGTCAAAATGAACAAAGTCTGTTAAATGATTTATTTGGAGGTCAATCTACTATTTTAATGAACTACTTCAAACGCCTCGTCTGAAAATCTCGTCTGACCTACCAGTATGTTTACATTCCTGTCAATAAACGCAAACCAAACTATGTTACAATTGCAGACAAAAGTTTCTGTTGTTAAAATATCACAATATTCGGCAAATCAACTTTCCTCGCAAACTACTCTTCAAATAAAATAAAAAGAACAGCAACACTTCGGAAAATCATATACCCTTGAATGACAGAGGAATAAGTTTACTCTCGGCGGTTAGCAAAGTATATTCAGCTGTGTTAAATAATAGACTAAAGAAACATTTAGAAGATCAAGAGTTACTTGTTTAATGAGCAGAACAGATTTCGTTCAAAACGGTCGTGTGAGGACCATGTTTATACCTCATGTACTATTATTAGAAATAGACTTTTGAGTAAACTTGATACATTTGGAACTTTTATTGATATAAAAAAGGCATTTGACTTTGTCAATAGGGATGTTCTTTTGTATAAACTTTTGTCTAATAGTATAAATGGAAAATTTTATAACTCGATTAAGGCTATTTTGACGGATACATCGTCTTGTGTTAAGTTAAACGGTATGCTAACAGACTGGTTCCCGACTCTGTCTGGCGTAAAGCAAGGAGACAGCGGATCGCCAACTATCTTTGCTTACTTCATAAACGATCTAGCTGAAGGTTTAAAGACTCTTAACAAAGGTGTACAGTTTAATAATGATATACTTTGTTGTTTGTTTTATGCTGATGACATATTATTGTTGTCTGAGAATGAACAAGATATGCAAGACATGTTAGATTATGTTCATGAATAGTGTCGGAAATGGCGACTTATTATTAATAATGAAAAGTCAAAGGTTGGGCATTTCTGAAATTAGGGTAAAAATAGAAGTAATTTTCAATTTAGAATAGGCGATTGTTTTGTATTGTTTACGGATATGTATAAATATTTGGGTGTTAATTTACATGAGCACTTAGATTTTACTCATACTGCCGAATTGTTGTCTAAATCTGGTGGCCGAGCACTTGGTGCAATTATTTCTAAAGTACATAATTATAAAGATGTTGGCTTTAAAACATTTACTAAAATGTATTATTCATGTGTTGTTCCTGTAACAGATTACTGTTTCTCAATATGGGGCTTTAAATATTATAACAAAATTGATATGACGCAAAACAGAGCAATAAGATATTTTATGGATGTGCATAAATTTGCACCATTATAAGCAATAAATGGTGATATGGGTTGGATTTCCACTGAACATAGACGTTGGGTTAACATTTTACGATTTTGGAATCGACTTGTAAATATGCCGGACGATAGACTTCCAAAAAAAATGTTCTCCTATGACTACAATTGTTTCGGAAAAACATGGTGCTATGATGTAAAGACTATATTGCAACAAATTCAAATGTCACATTACTATGAAAACAAGTTACCTGTAAATCTAAATGATGTTGAAGATGCATTGTTTGTTAAATATAAAACGGATTGATGTAATAATGTTAGAAATGTTGCCAAACCTATAACATATATTGAATTTAAACAACATTATAATACTGACAAGTATTTGCTTTCGTCATTAACTAAGATTGAACGGTCTCATTTAGCCCAATTCCGATGTGGTACACTTCCATTAAAGATAGAAACGGGAAGATATGTCGGTTTAAATGTAAACGAAAGATTTTGTCACTTTTTTCCAGTTAATGTTGTAGAAGATGAGACTCATTTTCTTTTAAACTGCATTAAATATAATGACTTACGAGAGAACCTTTTATCAAAATGTAAAGATAGAAATCCTGATTTTGAACATATGTCTGAAGTAAATAAGTTAGTATATGCTGTCAATTATCAGTATGTGCATGTTGCTAAATTTTTAGTCGAAGCTGAACAGAAGAAGGATGTCTCTCTACAGAAATTAATTTAAAAAATGTTGTAAATGTATTTGCTCTAATGATATGTACATGAATGACAACTGTATATGTATCATATATGTGATTTGATACCGAAAGTAATTGGGAAAAAATGTAAACTTGTATACTTCCTATTTCTCTTATAATGCAGATGTTATTATGTCCAAGAACATTTTAATCACTATTTGCTCGTGCATGTATATAATTAGTTAATATCTCAATTATGTTATAAATTGTATATTTTTGAAACTGATTAAATAATTAAGTGACTTGTAGGCCCAACGTGGACGGGTGTTGTAAAAAAATATGTATCGTTATTATGTATGTACATAACACAATGTCACTATAATAAAATTTACTTATCTTATCTTATCTTATCTTTTTAATAAACCACTGTATACTACAAAATGATTAATAAAAAACCGAAGAGCGCGATTAATTGACGGAAAAGATAATTTCATTTGAATATGATTGCATTACGAAATTCTCCAGTTCCCTAGTCATTGTACATATCGCGACATTTCATTTTTAATAATTAAACACCCGCATACCAATCAGAATGATCAGCTATTTTGACCGACGTGTGTTTACATTCCTATCAATAAACCCAAAACACCTCGTGTTAAAACTGGCGACAAAAGTTTCTGTTGTTAAAATGGCACAGTTTTCAACAGATCAACAACCCACTCAAACTACCATAAAATTGATTGCCTTGAAACAAAATAGAATCCACTTCTTACAGCAAAACAAATGGATAATTAGGGTCAATTATAATATTCTCGGTAAAAACTGTAAAAAAAGTGCAATCAGGGCCGTAAAACAATTAATTTACCGGGAAAATAAACTTACGGAAAAGTTTCAGAATGTTAATACTATTATATAAACATTCAGAAAAAACTCGTCTGCCTAAGTTTAGTCTTTAAATCATGTTTTATTTAGATAGATTTTTAAAAATCTCAATTTATTGTTTAATATGTCCTGCAATTTTTTTCAGTTCGTTATGTATAACCATAGCGCTACACGAATAACCATTTCGTTTAAACAACCATTTCACCAATCGGAACGTCCTAAAAGTTGCTATTGCCTTTTAACAAAATCTGAATTCATTCCATAAAGGGCGTTGCGCTTCAGCGCGGACGCCGATAATCAATTTTCCCCTATACTTAAACAAGAAGTATCTTTAAAAAAAGATACTCGGTCGAAGAAAAACTAGTTAACTTGCATATGTTAATTCTCAGTTTTCAATGCAAAGTCATACATGAATGTTAGCATAGCTTGCATAACAATGACAATAATTTTTGTAGGGTTTTTAATCTTGACAAATGGAACGCTTTAAGATAAATGTGTTTCTAAACAAAAATGATGTTTCTGTAAATGAACTCAATTTTTAACACCTACATCAACTAGGCGGTAAAACAATTGTTTTTATAAATACTTGAAATGTGCATGATGTTTGTTGCAAAACATGTTTCTGAATAGTTCTGTCGTGTTTGTGGGTTAACTATGACGACGGTTGACACATTTGAATTTTTCAACCCTGCCCATTTATAGGATGGCTCTGGTTTGCTGATTGCTTCACATACCAATGTGTAAGTTTCATTTTCTATGACTCGTATGGTGTTTTTAACGGTGGTACGTTCATTAAGGCTGGTGTGCTCAAATTTGATGCTTTCAATCGTAGGCGGGTCTTAAATAGAAAAAGCACAAACTAGATACACGCTTTAACAAGATTTACCAAGTAATTATTATGATATAAGTTATTTTGTTTTATTAAGCAGTAACTTTTTGTTTTATGTGTTTTTAAACACATTTCAATACCTCTCTTTTCATTTTATAATACTTCAATAGTTGATAAATGGTGTCGGACTCAAGTAACATGAAATAAAAAATGTTTTACTGGGTTATTTATGAACGTTTAGCCTTATTAGTTCGGCGTTAACGGCTTACAGACTACAGTTTCTTAACCGCTTTTCACACTTCTTTCTTTCTAGTTTTACACTGATAAGCCTGACAGTCTTATGGACGGAAAATCTACGGTCAAAACTTCCTATAATTTGAACGTTTTCAAAAATTAAATAGGTATAATTGTTTGTACTAACTGCATTCCAAACAATCAAAAATGTTACCTCTCTTTACACATACAAGCGGTTTCTTTAAAATGTGAAAAAACATTTCTTTGGTGGACATGTAATGCCGTTATCATAAAATGATTAATTACGTAAAATGTATAGTAGCTTATTAGTGTGTATAATTGATAAGAAAAAGCTGCGCATAGAAAGTTATTTTCCTATAAATTCCGGCAAAAAAAAAGTGTATGCATTATTTTTAATAAATTTATGTTTTATAAGTAACAATTAAATAGTACCGATTAGCTAAGCCTAAAATGCAGTAGTTCAAATACGTTTAGAAAAAACCGTAGAAATTATATAAAAAATATTTCCAATGCATTTTTATGGTGTTTTTTATTCAAACAATAGCAATTGGTGTTATGCCATTTATTTTACAGCTAATGGTTGTTGCTGTTGTCCTTCTTGTATAAAAGGTGCGTAATCTTTGCGATCTGGCCACATGCCGTTGACACTATGAGGGAATGATCACAATTGATGTAATAAATGTCGTCGCTAATTCCACATGCTGTTACATTTTTTATTAGACTGTGTGTCAGTTCCTTTTACAGCGGACTTTATAACTTTAGAAAAAGCAAACAATATATTACTTTAAGTTATTAAATTATAATATTTAACTTGATTTCTATTCGGTAGTCTGCTCAAGGATTATCCAAGAGTCCTTTCGGACTGATGGTTGTCGGAGGCTGCGTTCTATCTTATCATTTCAAAGACCAAAATTCCTCGCGTGAGCTTTGTTAGTAGTTATAAATAACATATTGAAAACCCTGTTCATCATGGCAGCGTGTAAAATATTTGTTACCGACATGTATGACCATCTTCGTCACTATCAAGGTTTTAAATCACTTAGTGTTGTTTATTAACCGTGCAAATTAAGGACATTAGGAGAGCGCTTCGTAATTTCATTTATCTCAAAGCAATTGCACTTGCGCTTGGAAAAAATGGGGAATATTGGACAGATCTAAACCACCGATGAATATAACATGCATAAACATGGGAATAGATAAATACGTAGGTTGGATAGGCAATTGTAAAGAAAACAGCCAAAATAAAAGTAAATGAACAATGCAATAGGTAGTCGCCGACAATGTGTTACTATACGGTCAATGTTTACCAATGCACCGACAATGTCGTTTTTTTCTCACTATTGGATAGTGGCCGCTTATAAAGAAATTTACCTGTGTGAAAAATATAGATTGAATATTTTTAATAGTTTTTACTTTATTTTGACGTCATCACTTTTATAACCATAAGGATGAGCTATTTATAGCTACTGTTACTTAAAATAACTTAAATATATAAGGTCAATTATTACGACGGAAACGCAACGGCCGCTGTGGTGTTATGGTTAGCATACTGGACGACCCGTAGTTCGAGTCCGGGCTGCAGCGTGCCGATCGATTGTTAGTGTGATTTTTTAGTATTCTTTCTCGCTAATGAGTTTCTTTCTTATATATGAGGTAATGTTGGCCTTTCTTCCTAACTTTGCTAGTTGATTTCACCAAACATCTATTTGGGCACCGTCCGTGTAGAACAATGCTGTTCGTTTTTGGACTTGGAAAAAGACATCGACGTCGAAAATTATTTCGATGCCTTTTTGACAAGTCTTATGAATTCAACTAGAATGTATAATAACAAATAACAGATGTTATAGTTTGATTTTATTGACTTGTCAATTATGAATACATTATAGTACTAAATTGCATATCCGTTATATAACTTAATATATAATAGACGTGTGGTTCGATCCCTACCCCTACTGTTGCCATTGTTTTAGATCTGCTCTTCCTAAAGGAAATGGCAAGTGCATGCAAAATTGTCTATATGAAACAACTAAAAACACTGTTTTGTCTCGTTTGAGATTGTAATTTACGTTATTGAAATTACTTTTTGATTCAGATCCGAGTCAATTTTAATTATTAATTCTTAAACAATGTTATTTAAAAAAGTATAGACTTTACCAAAATAATTGCAAAATCATATTAAATAAAACGAACAACATCAAAAACAATCATAGCTTTAATGATGTTGAAAATAAGAATTAGTAAATAAACATGGAACTATGCGGTTTCGATCTCACAATACGTAGAACATATAAAATTATTAACCCGTAGTTTACTCTATTGTGCTATAACTCTCAGTACAATTGTTTAATTGGCACACATTAAATTTTATCTTATCTTACTGAGTACATCTCATGAAACTTACCGAAAATATTTCGGAGATTAATATAGCGTGTACATTGACCGTATAACCAGTATTCAATTGACATGTAAATAAAATCAAACAGTACTCGCAGTTAACATATTTAGACTGTTTGTTGTAATCCATAAAAAGAACGGAAATTGTATGAAATAATAAGTCAACCTAATAACTGGGTTATATGCATATGTAAATTAAATCTTACATAATATAGCAATCCTTATAATAGCTGTATCAATCCCGGCTACCACGTGAGTTGATGTACATGTGCAAACTCTGTCTTCATCACGTTTTACCTGCCACTGTAAATTTAATCCTACCTCCTCATTACTTTCAAACTCGAATTGTGTTCCAGTGCAGTTCCATGATAGTTTTGGGGGCGGGTAACCCCCAACGATTGTGCATGTAATATTACAAGTGCTGTTTTCCTTCAATTTGTAGAAGCTGTTATTGAAAGCTTTATTAATATAAGGACCTCTATTTGGAGCATCTGGAACAATTCATTGATTTAAAATTGTCATTAAAACGACAACAAACAAAAAATAAAGGAACAATTATAAAAAAAATCATTAAGTGTGTTTTGAAATTAAAAGAGCGGGTAATATAAACCGTAAGTTGAAGCCTCTAAAATTCTCATTACAAACATTCAGATTATTATCTCGTGTAGACTATTTCAAAATGTTAAACTATATAGTACCACTTCATTTGGAAAGTTGAAATTATGCTCCAGTATAATAATTATATATCTAAAATGAAATTGCTTTCCCTAAAAATAAATTTTGTAGTTAAAAGATAAATATGTGACCAGAACTTTTACTTACAAAATACGCGAATCTTTATATTTCGAGAGACAACAGTTGATCCTACGCCATTTTTACCAATGCAAAATATTTTAGCCCCCTGTTTTTCTCTGGTGACACTTATGTTTAGCTTGCTAATAGTAGACGTATACCCTTTGTCATCAGATATGATTTCAACAGAACTAGTTGTGCTTATTGGACTTGTTTCATCTCCGATTTGCATTAACCATTGCACAGATGGTGTTGGTCTACTGTATGATGTTTTACATATAAACAGTTGATAATTATTTTCCGTTATTGTTACATTGCTATCGCTTGGCGAAGTAACTTCAATTTTTTCCACGGGAACTGAAAAAAAAGATAAAAAATAAAGAACCCGTATTTGGAATTCAGTAAAAGGGATAATAGATTACGAAAAGTTAAATTGAATTCCATTGACGTATTTAAATAGATACAATCTGAGACTCTATTTTTGTGATAATATAGTAAAATACGTTTTTATAATATGCTGTTATGCATATTTTGTACATAGTCTAATATACAACAATGTATATTATTATCTTGGTAAATATCGACATCTGAATTATTGACATTAAAGTTAAACATTTTTAAACAATTCTTATCATCGTTATCCAAGTTAAGCAATTTCAAAATAAAATCTTATTCAATTTGTGTGTCATATTGTTTTTTACTGTCATAAAATATGTATAGTTACCAGTTGACTATCTAGCATACAATTAAAATACAGTATGCACTGCATATTCTTATCATGTATTAAATAATTGCTGATATAGCTTTACGTTCATTTACCAAGTTATCAATAAAATAGAAAGAATAAAAAATAACAAAACAGCAGATTTTGCTGTAAAATGAATATCCTTTTAGTGGTATCTAGATATCTTTTAAATGCTTAATGCATATCATTGTTATATTAATAAGTTTTATAAATCAAACACTGACTAAAGTAATTTATCTGGTTTTGCAACATGCCATATAGATTCAAAACTACAAAATGCACTTCAAATGCGAGTATATGCATAAAACTATATGTTTTGTTGACCTTTAAAAGTGTCCATTGAAAGGTTAAGCAGACGGGTTATTTCAAGCGTCAGCAATAAAGCAATAAAGTTATTCAATTCGTTTTTTTTCCAGTCAGGGTTTTAAACGATATGCGCAGCTTGTATTGTAAAATTTTAACTCTATTAAAATATCAAATATCAAATTAACATTCTCTTAAAAGGTATTTACAGTTGTTAATCTCCTATGTAACATTATGAACATGTAAAATAAAGAAACAAGAAAATAAAAATACCTTTCACATTGATAACTACTCGATTACTTAACGAAAATCCCTGCTTGCACGTCCAAATGTTTTCATGTTGTGACCTATCTACTTTAATCAACGTTAAAGTGAAGCTTCCATTTATATGACAATTCCATGAATATAATAAACTGTTATTGACAAAGCCGAATGCCTGACATGTGCCGTCCTCTGATTTGTATATACGCGCCCAGATGGTACTGTTGACATTATTTATATTTATGCCCCATGCTGATACGTCACCAGTTAATAAGCATGTCAAAGCGACACTAGAATTTTCAACCACATCAACAGTCTTCGGTACAAGTTCAACTGTTTGTGTTAGTTCACCTATAAATAACAATATCATTAATATTATATCTTTATTCTTAAATAAGTTTGAATCTGACCTATACTATATATTTGATATTTTGTATATATACAACATTAACATTTCTCCACATTCAATTTCGAAATAAGTAATGAATTCTTATAACAATTAAGAACATTTACGAAATTTAAAAACGAACAATGAGACGGTTAGATGGAACTTTTAAAAGTCCATAAAGAGTTCTAAAGATTTGTTTTTGACCGGATTGTAAATATTAGAATAAAACGATAGGAGAAAATATGAGAAGAAAATAATTCATTTAAAGTACTTGGCTATAAACATTTTTAAATGTGAGCCTGCAAATATACATGTATAGTACTAAAAGGCCGATTTCATTTAACAAAGTGCATCCTTATCTTATAATTTCAATCGTGTGTGAAAGATATGATTTCGTTCTTTGTTATAGTGGGACGGTGATCATATGGTTGTTTGATTAATTTGAAGTAGATTAAATCTGGATTTGATCTACTTATCATTTTGAAAGGGATTCAAATTCCGATGGAAGAGGATTGTTCTGATATTGAATTTTTGCTGAAGGCGGGTGTACATATATAAATATGTAGAATAAATAAAATATTTATTAAGGTCAGAAGAATAATTTAAATTTACAACAACAAGATGTCATTAGGTTTTGAATTGCATCATGTTTGTTCTTCTCATTGCTTGCGCAAAATGTTAAAGCAATACTTTTAAAAACATGGTGAGGTGAATGAGGCGTTACTATAATTCGCGTACAAGAAAAATAATATTTAAAGGTTCATTCAATACATCTTATTTTTTTCCTTCGTAAAATATTAGTTGATATCTTAATTTGTAGAACAAAAACACACTTTGTGAGTTTATTTGGAATAAATCTAATTTGTTCACTGGCTTAAGTTATAACCAACCTAATGGGTACTATAAGGAACTGAGAAATTGTCAGATATAATAATTATGCCTGTAAGGACACCTTCATGAAAAATTTAGACAAACTTTACCGTACGGTAAACGAGTTATGGTAACATTTGGATGTTAGAAGGTCAATTTTTCAGAAATGATAAACCTTAAAATAATCTACGAAAAAATTTTCCCATGAAGCTTGGATAAAAACAAATCCACAAGCAAAATGATTGTTCCTAATCAAAATTTATGAAATATGACCATTTCTTACATAGAGAGCCTAAATAGAAAAATTCCAAAAATTTACCAAATTGGGGCTGTTTCCAAAGATTCCCTATTTATTTATTTATTTTTTTAAATATTGGTTGATCTTGTAAAATATTAGATACTATTTCTATGTAGTTTTGATTTTATTAAACTTTGAAAATATCAGGTACCATATATGTTTAGCCAATAAATACCTATCTTTACTATATAATTAAAATTAAATACATTTTCCGAAACTTGTGTTTTCTTGAATTGCTCTCTAAGTCTTTGTTTAATTGAATCAAAATGTGTTTTTGCCAAAAGCTAGAAGATAATTATTGAAAGATAATCGTTTCACCGATAAACACTTTCCGAACTAGCAGACAGCAGGCTATTCTTATCAACTGTGTATAGAAAGCCATGGCTGTCTTATATTGTTCTTTTTCAATTCATTTAACCATTTGGATAATATATAAGTTCACTTCGACTATATATTAATTGATATTAGTGAAAACATCTTCTTATTTAATCGGAATCCATTATATTAATCCACAGTTATTATAGTACGATACTCTTTCATAAACAGGGTTTATGATCCTTTGTAAAGTTCGTTCTACAAACAAAGAGTAGACAAGTTTGCATCACACTTATAAATTTCAGCTTTCACCTGCTTTATACGTTGAAATCAATGATACAATATATGAATATGACCAACAAGAATTTGTCATAAATAAAGGGAAGTAGATTTGCGTAAATGTGATTCTAAACAGTTACAAGTGTTCTCCCAAGTATTCTCCCTTGCAACCATTTACTAATGATTCAATTAAACAGATATTATGGTTAGTTATAATCAATACCCGTCAAAATATTAATATTAGGCTTATCGGAATATTTGGGCATTAAACTTTTTATTTATAAACCAAATTTGGAAGAAAACAATAGCTTTCAGTCCAATTACACACAAGTGAGATTTTACATTGCGACGGAATGGTGTTACATTTTTGCATACTTTGAGAAGGGTCGATTTAGATCAGCGCAGTTGTGAAAATTGAAGTTAAAGGAGAAGCGTTATAACACAAAAATTACGTTTCGTACTAAAACTTATGTTATAATATGACAGGACAAGGACTCTTAAGTCAATGTCACAGGGAAAGCAAACCAGTAAGTGTGCCAGGAATCTGACACGACGGGTCTTTATATGTCCCGCTCGTTTTTGATAATTATAATGCCTTGTACTGCAAAGTATCAACAATGAAGCCCTAAACTTGGTTATAAATATAAGGAAAGGTATTAGACATATCATAAAGTCTAGACCTCCCCCGCGATCTTGACAATCGTTTGCAACGTCGCGATATAGACCTTATTATAAATAAGTGGTCAATGGGCACAGACGTTTGAGAATAAAAAACATGTGATTTTATACAGTATTTATTTAAAACTTTTTTAGCAAAACAGTTTTCTAAGTTATATTTTCAATGTTATATGATTATGTTAGGATTTTTCCGTTATCCGTTAATACACACGATTTATCTATTTATTCAATGTATTCCGAAGTCAATGGGTTGAACTGAATGTGATGGGATTTTGAAAGAGGATCGGAAGTTATGAACCCTACAAACTCAAGATAAGTCGTGTAAAAGTATTTTAAAATGCAGGCAACATATCCTAGGGATGATGATACAGTATTCAAGTAGGAATACTGGAGTCACCCTTGTAGAAAAAGGACATCTATCAAAACAGCAGCATCATATATGGAAATAACATCACCATCTATCAAAACCACAACGCCATTTATAAAAAAAAAACATCACTTAAGAAGTGTATATAGAAGCATGGATTTATGTAATATAAATCCGTGATAGAAGGCAGTTTTTGCGTTTCATAAATATTTCAAAGAAAATGTAAGAATGATCATGTCTGTCTAATGACCATAGATCAACATGAAATTAAGAAATAATAATTTACAGTGTCTTCTTAAACTCGCATACGGTGTCATTTAATAACAAATGATCATGACTATCCAACGGATAACATTACAAATACCATCGCGAGATATATAAATACACCGGTACCATGGAGACATCAGTAGTATGGGGTTTCAGTAAAGGTACCACGTGAAATTTGTTACCATACTAATGATCCGTATCAACATCAAGAAAAGCAAGTAAAAATGCTATGATAGTAAATAAGGATCGTGAAATGGCATAATTGCAATGAATAATTTCTTGTCAGCTGTCGTACAACTATTGTAAGTCAAAGTATAGTACGTACAGGACATTCTTAAATAAACAATAAACATCATGCAATGATGATATACAACAAAATAACTGGAAAGTAGCACGAGGGTTATATAATGTTACGCATGCTTCGTATACAAAGAAACGGACACCATATACTGGAAAATCATAATCAAATAATGATAAATTTGCATCACATATAGTATGAATTTTTTTAAAAATTAGTAATCGAAATTCTTTCGGTTTAAAATCAATAAATGTCATTTCATTGCCGTAAAATACAATACAAAACGTGACAACTCAATGTTTCTTAGTTGTTTCATATCCATGTAGGCAATCTTGCAAACGCTTGACAATTTTTTTTAATTATACTTAAATATAAAGAAAGAATAAGCCTAAAAAGAATGTCAAAAGAAGGGATCGAACCTCGAAACCATCATACATAAGGTAATCACTTAACTGACTGTGCTATTGCGGATGTTACAAGAACCTATATTAAGCTAGTGGGAGTTTTCCAAACGCTAGTCATATGCTCCATATTAATTCTCGTAAAATAAACGGACAAAACCGAAGTGGGATCGGATATTTAAATGAGTGCTATAATGTATTCATATTTGATTTGACAGGTCAATATAAACAGACTATAACGGGTGTATAACACAGCCGTGTTTATATCATAACAACTGTAAGGTCACACTTAGCTCATTGAAACTGAAGATTTTTCTTCAGTTGTACAATACGCGTATCTATTAACTTGAAACAAATATGGTCATGTTATAATAATAATATCTGTCATATTTTGCGGTTCGGATCGGAATATCCGTCCCGAGGTGACCAGCCCATTGGGCGGTAACGAGGCTTGCCGAGTTACCGCCCATGGGCGGGTGACCGAGGGACGGATATTCCGATCCGAACCGCAAACATATGTCAGATATTTTTTCTTGCATATTCTACCATATTCCATTATATTTTAAATTCTTTATCTTTATTTTCAATGAAAATTTATATCATTACAACCGTAACTACTTTCATTCTACAGCGTATGAATTACAAAATCATTCATAACGGTAAAATGACGTCATCTTTATCGTGCCATTGTACAGCACGCGACTCATCTGGAACCCCCATGCCAGATGAAATTTCCGGCATGGGTAAAACTAACGGAAACGCCAGTCTGATACGCAAGAAGACACGTTCTGTGATGGAGAGGGTAGTTTTAACGACAAATAACACACCGTATTACCGGCGGCAGTGATGGCAGATCACTGCAGTGATGGCAGATATCTGAAAATTACCGATCGGTACAGGTAGGTTATAAATTTGGTTGGTTTAATTATATTACACAAATACGGCCCATTTCATTGCTATAAAACTATTGTCCATTGAATGGAGATACTGTAAGGTAATTTTGGACTCGATTTTTCCTTTTTTCAGACTATTTTGAGCAGGTTAAAAGTGAAAGCCTTAGAAAAATCCGTGAAAATGTCTGTTTTCTGTTCAAAATATCTCAAGTTTTAAGTAAATGGCAGGATTTCCTGTTATCAATATAGACGTTCATCCATTGGGGTCACGCAAGCCAAATATCTACCCCGTGAGTCTTTTCTTGAAAGTTTTACAGACGCTCAATCTTGTCCGGTCGAAGAAAAAATGCTGCCGTTGTAGGCAGATACATATTATAAATGCTGCCGTCGATGGCAGAAATACCACGAAAGTGGCTAACATTCTGACAGAAAATCAAGTTCAATCTTTTATCAATTCCTCTTTTCTTTGCGTCCTTTTAGTCGGAATTGAGACGTTAAACTATCATTTCTAATATTTTCTCAAGATAGAAAAAGTATTAATGCGGTGTGTGCATCGAAAAAAGCTTTTTAGTAACATGCAGTTACAATACAAAAAGTGATGATTTAGTACGACAAAATTTCACTATAAATAGAGAAATGAACATGAAAAACTTCATTTTTCTATATTCATGCATGTGTGCTTGATCTGTTCATATGAATTGAAAGGTCAAAAAAGAGAAAAAGAATATAACAAATCAAAAAATTCTAGTTTTTTTCCTATAAATACAGGATTTATTTTCATCTTGTGATATGAATCATCGAAAGGTTCATCTTTATAAGTTGTCATGGTTACAACTAAAATGAATGAAAAAAATATATAGTTAAATGGGAGCACGTGATGTTAGAACTGTTGTTAATAGTTTAGCATAGTAAATGTAATTCAAAGGCAAACTACAACGCTATTACAAACATGAAAATTTAAAGAAATGAATCCACGTTGTCGTGTTTTATCAAGAACTTGATAATATAGGAAAATATTTGAACTGTCAATAATATTATATTTCCATTTTACATTAACATACATTGTTTTATGATACACTGATGCCAGTTGCGAGGTTAATAGTCTCCCCTTTATTACATCAATTTAATAATTTATAATCTGCGCCGATTAAGTAAATTTCAGCCTTTATTTGTCATAAAGCGATGAACATTATTACCTCGAGAAAATAATGTCATATGCTAGCAAATGAATATCCACTTACAGAAGTTACTTTAAAAAGGGAGTGCGCTGCTAAACTTAAGATACATATAGTATTGTATGCATGTAACTGACAGACACAACAGATCAAGCACACATGCATGAATATAGAAAAAATGAAGTTTTTCATGTTCATTTCTCTATTTATAGTGAAATTTTGTGGTACTAAATCATAACTTTTTGTATTGTAACTGCATGTTGCTAATAAGCTTTTTTTCGATGCACATACCGCATAAATGAAAAAAATCAAAAAATCTACAAAACAAGCAATTTTTCTTCAAAATTATATGTGAGGCCATGTTTTAACATGGAAAAACGCGTTTTTGGGTAAAATCGTTTTTTTTTCATCATTTTCTGTTAACCCATTACCAGATATATACGCCTTTCTACGCCTTTTTCACCCTCCCCCACCTCCTTTTTTGCTTTCTCAAATGGTGAAAAAATGCCTTATTTAGGCCCCCAAACACTTGTTTTTGTTTGATAAATGTTGTTTAAAAAATTGACCACTTTTTCGGCGCGGCCCCCCCCCACCCCCATCCAAAAGATACATCAGGGGGTTGCCAGAAGGGGGATGTGCCCCCTTCTGTTTGGGGGGTTTGAAGGGGGGCTGAGTCCCCCTCATCGCCAAGAAAACTTTGGACTTGTGGGAGGCTAAAAATGGCCCCAGGTCGATCATAAGGTAACGTGTAACCAATGCTGAAAAGCCTTTGACTACTCTATCTCAATCCATTGAGAAGTGGCAGCACTTTGAAATCAATTTTGATGGAAAAAATCAACGTAAAATAGTGATTTTTTGCAATTTTGAGATGTCCCCTAGTTGCTATGGTAACAGGAAATTTCAGACTGAACATGTTGTTACAAAGGCAATGGTCCACTCAACATTTGTGCCAAGTTTGATTAGTATTGAAGCAGTTTTTATAGTTTTATAGCAACTTGAACTTGTAACGGGAGACCTTTCAATGAAAACAGCCATTTTTCACAAGATGCTCATGGAGTAATGGGTTAATAACTTTTCTATCTTGAGAAAATATTAAAAATGATAGTTTAACGTCGCAATTCTGACTAAAAGGACGCAAAGAAAAGAGGAATTGATAAAAGATTGAACTTGATTTTCTGTCAGAAAGTTAGCCACTTTCATGGTATTTCTGCCATCGACGGCAGCATTTATAATATGTATCTGCCTACAACGGCAGCATTTTTTCTTCGACCGGACAAGATTGAGCGTCTGTAAAACTTTCAAGAAAAGACTCACGGGGTAGATATTTGGCTTGCGTGACCCCAATGGATGAACGTCTATATTGATAACAGGAAATCCTGCCATTTACTTAAAACTTGAGATATTTTTGAACAGAAAACAGACATTTTCACGGATTTTTTCTAAGGCTTTCACTTTTAACCTGCTCAAAATAGTCTGAAAAAAGGAAAAATCGAGTCCAAAATTACCCTTACAGTATCTCCATTCAATGGACAATAGTTTTATAGCAATGAAATGGGCCGTATTTGTGTAATATAATTAAACCAACCAAATTTATAACCTACCTGTATCGATCGGTAATTTTCAGATATCTGCCATCACTGCAGTGATCTGCCATCACTGCCGTCGGTAATACGGTGTGAATAAGAAGCAAAGCAAAATAAATTGTGTCCTTCCGAAGAAAGTCATGCGCCTTATTTAAAATCATATATGACTCGCTGCTTTGCAGTCGAATCACGATTATAAGTCAATCGGAAAAGGCCCAATATGGTAGGTTGATGCATTTTATGAATTGACATTGCAATTTATTTGTACAATAAAAACTTACACCTATAATGAATGTGAAAAAGCTAAATTTAGGTAAATTTACTTCTAAATTTGATTGTATTAACTTCGTTCATGTTCCTATCGTTCATTTCCTTATAGATTTTTTATAAAAACATACCTTTACAAATAAGAACCGTTATTATAACGATTATTATAAAGCATCCGTTGTGCATCATGTTTCCTCAGATTGATTTTTTTCTAAAATATGATTAAGACATATATTAATATATCTTAAGAATATGAAAATGATTTCTTTAGATATCGCTGATGTTGCATTTTCTCTTGAAGCAGATTAATCATCTAAAGTTGTTTCTTTTTAATATTAATGCCATACCTCGACCAGCAAGTTCATGAGATATTTTACTAAAACGATATATGAATTAATACAATTGATACAAATGGATACTGCTCTTTCTACAATTTAACTTTTATATACCAAAATGCATTGTAAGCGGAGGAATGATAATTAAACTGTTATTTAACATAAACTGAATTATTATATTTTGCACAATGAAATATTCAGACTTTGCATCGTAAATATCATGGAAATAGCTAATTCTTACCTTCTGTGATAGTCGCACACATATCATTCGTTCACCTAGTACTTTTCCATTGATCAAATTTCGTTTTATATTTTTCAAACTTCCTCAATTAGATAGCTGTTTACCACAATACATGTTAGAACATAAGTCCTCGGTGGATTCTGGTAGTCAACAGCAAAGACAAGACAAGTTTTAACTAAATTTCCCAAGACGAATACATATCAGCATTACGTTGTTTTTTTGTGTTTTTTTTTATGCTCCCGAAGGCTGAGCATATAGTCGCCGCTTTGTCCGCCCGTCAGTCGGTTTTTCTTGTCCGGGACATAATTTTGAAACAACAAGAGGTATCAATATGAAACCTTGTAGGTAGATAGATCTCTTTGAGTAGGTGTGCACAAGAACTGTAAATCGGTCTTGACTAATTTTTGAATTATTGCACTTTGTTTATTTTTACACTTTGAACTTTGTCCGAGACATAAATCTAAAACTATAAGAGGTATCAACATGAAACTTTGTAGGTAGATGGATCTCATTGAGTAGGTGTGCAGTGTACTAGAAATGTAACTCTGCCTTGCCTAATTTTTCAATTATTGCCCTTTGTTTATTTTTACACTTTGAACTTTGTCAGGGACATAACTCTAAAACTATAAGAGGTATCAACATGAAAATATTTAGGTAGATATATCTCATTAAGTAGGAGTGCAGTGCACAAGAATTGTAACTCTGCCTTGCCTAATACTTGAATTATTTCACTTTGTTTATTTTTACACTTTGAACTTTGTCCGGGACATAACTCTAGAACTATAAGAGTTATCAACATGAAGCTTTGCAGATAGATGGATCTCATTGAGGTGGTTTGCAGTGCACAAGAACCGTAACTCTGCTATGCCTTATTTTTGAATTATTGCCCTTTGTTTATTTTTTACACTTTTAACTTTGTCCGGGACATAACTCTAAAAGTATAAGAGATATCAACATGAATCTTTGTAGGTAGATAGATCTCATTGAGTGGAAGTGCATTGTTAAAGAGCCATAACTCTGTCTTGCTTAATGTTGGAGTTATTGCTCTTCGTTCATTTTTACACTTGGAACTTTGTCCGGGCATTACTCTAAAATTATAAGAGATATATATAGAAACTTTATAGATAGATATATCTCATTAAATAGAAGTGCAATGCAAAAAAATCATAACTCTGCTTTCAAATTGCCTTATTTTGGAGTTTTTTTGTTGTTTTTTTTTTTTTTTTTTTTTTTCAATAATTTTTACACTTCCGAAATTGCAATCTTGTTCATTCTTTATTGAATTACGCTAAGGTTTCACACAATGGTCAAATAACTTAAAATGATTTTAAAATAATGTACATATATCAATGTATTTCTTTTTGCTGTAAATTTAAATAAGAATGTTTTGCAACCAAACCAAGAAATTAACAATTGCTATCGAAGTGCTAAACCAATGTATTTGCATGTTTTATGTACTTAAGAATCATGACCAAAAAAGAAAAATCGATGTGACTTGATTAGCTTATTGTGGAATGAAACTAATACAATTCATTAGGCTGTAATCTTAAGACAACTTTCGACCAGAATTTTGTCAAACAAAATTGCATTTGCATAGTAATTATTAGTTAGTAATTACTTTCTCGGTTTCTTGATGAAAAGTTGGTCAGTTGGCGTTTTTATGACTGTTTTGCATAATTGCATTTAATCTTAGACCGTGCTTTAAGCACGTTAAACACTCATGCATCATAATGTTGTTGTTGTTGTTGTTGTTATTGTTGTTGTAAAGTACCGCCTGGCTAATTAACAAGGCAATACCAGTTATACGTTTAAAAACACTTTGTCATTAACCACTACTTTCCAATGGCCACTTTTAAATTGTATGATTACCCTGTACACTGCAAATCAAAAGATTTTTCACTTATTTTATTAATAAATTTAAGTTGTGCTGCCTTTGGCAACAGCGTTTTAGGCCGATTTCTTATTGTGTTGTTGTTAAAATTATTTGCTATGGCACGACATGAAATAAAGAGGTTATGGCCAGATGTTTCTTGATTATATTGGATTAAAAGCAAACAAATAAAAGTAAGTTTTTGATATAATTCAATTTTGTTAAACTATGCGGGATCGATAAAATCTTGCCTTCATTTAAATCATTGCCTATTAGACTTTTTTATTAAAATAGATGGTGTTGTCTAGTCTTGCCAATTCCTTTTTTTGCACTATATTATCAATGGTGTTATCCTAGTATGCTATACAAAGTGAAGTATTGAAATATTTATCGCTGATGATTACGGTAGTTTTGAAGCATTTGTGCGTTTTTACCGAACTTAAGGTAAACAAATACATTGATTCGGAATGTATATGACTTGTTAATTATTTATTGGATTTAAAGATAAATTGAAGGGAATAAATATTTTATCTCATTGGTAAGTGATTATGAAATTCGTTTAAACTGTATATTGCCTTTTCTTACTAGTTTTCTCTTTCATTTATTTATATTTGTATGTTTATTGTTATTTTTGTTGTTAACGAGGGGGGATAAAATGGCGACACCCTTAACTTATGTCTATTCGACTGGTTGTATAAATGGTGGGCATACAGTTATAAGACAAGCTTATAGAATTATAGTTTGATTATATATATGTGGTATATGTACATACTCAGAATATATATGTCAGGTTCTTGTGACCGCACACAATTACATTAACAAACGCTGTTTAACAGTCATAAAGCTTTCACAGTTCAATCAAAATAGCCAAAGGGTATGTTCTTCCGAAACTAGAAATATTGAACAAAACAAATGAGATTGAAAGAAAAGGGCTAAACTAGAGCTGCAAGTTGGTTTAAAGCAAGTTGTAAATTTTTATTTTAGAAAATACAAAAATAGATCATCAAATGTTTAAAGAATGTACATAAAGTTAGTTTCCTATTCCTTTTTCGTTTTTCGAATAAGGAATAAGGAATCAGTTCCTTATTCCTTTTTCGAATAAGGAATAGGGAACTATTGCACAAATCAATCATCAAAATCATAGAATAAAGCAACCGCATCGACATATTTTTAAACAATATTCAAATCGAACAATTCGACTTTAACATATTTTCAAAATAATTTTATGCAGATGCTTTATGCAATGATTTTAATGAGGTATAACAAACGGGTTCATTATACCATGTTCAATTTGATTATTGTTTAAAAATATGTCGATGCGTTTGCTTTATTCTATTATTTTGATGATTGATTTGTGCAATTTTCAACAGATTTTTGAAAGAAAGAACCTTTTTAGTGTTCTGATCAACCAAAATTTTATTTTGAATAGATACTAATTCTGTTGTTTCTTATCTAGAATTGAATAATGAATGAGGAACATGTTCCCTATTACTTATTCGAAAGGAATAAGGAACTGATTTCTTATTCCTTATTCGAAAAGGGAATAAGGAATAAGACATAGGGAACTAACTCTATGTACATATTTAATGAATACGCGTATGGCTTCACATACTTAAAGTTCATGAAATGTGGTGGATTTGCATAGGTCTATTTTAAAGAGAGCAATTTTGAGCTATGCAATTTGTGCGTGTGTGTGGAATATGATAGACAGGTTCCGTTTACATGTGCAATATTAATATTTGCATATAACTTTCGGCAATCAGTTATGAAATAATATATTGTGTTACTGTACATGATGAGAAAGTTTAACTTTGAATTAATTCATTTATTGATTCAGAATATGTATTTGTCAAAATCTCTTTCATTTACTATGCATACGCGTACAAAAAACATGTAGTAAACCAACAATTGATTCTAGAAGACTAATAATATCAACAACAGTAAAATGACATACAATTTTATGTTAAAGTAATTCCAATATAAGGCTAAAAAAGTCTAAATAAAACATAAATTCGAAATTATTATATAGACTAAGTGCTCAGAATTAATTTTAAAAGATCACGATAACAAAATAAGTTTTCGAAAAACAAAATGGCAATGTCTTGTTTGTTTGATTGTTTTTCAAACACACTGACGCAGTATAGGTTATATGGCGACGTTCCAGATTTACTGGGAGAGGAACAATTAAGGTGCCCAACCGTGCATCATTCCAGGCACAAACGAGCACCTGAGTAGAACCAACGAGGTTTCGAAAGCTGGTTAGCTTCTTCATATGAAAGAATCCAAAGTCCCTGTCGGGATTCAACTTACATCGTTGAGGGGCAAGTGGTTTGAATTCAAAAACCTTAACCACTCGGCCACGGACGCCCCCAACAAAATCTGAAAATAACTACATCTTAAAACATTTGGGTTTCTTTCAGATCATTGATGTATGATGGGTTCCATCAACATTTTCAGCTTATTATTCATTTTGAAGTTACTGCAAACAGGTAAGGAAACTTCTTTGCCACATTTTAAAACTCGTTTTATTAATGAGTATATTTCAATGCAAGCACTGTTAATACATGACCGTTAGGAATTTCACAGTGTCTTTGTTTTAGGAGCAGATATTGTTATAATCATTGACAATGACGTGGATATGCGATATGGCATTCTTAAATCAATAATGCTGAGGGCTATTTCAACATTAGAAGCAAATGAATTGTTTACATGTGTACAAATGTATCTACCAAAATTATGTTGGAGTTTGTATGAGCCCTTTCTAAATTTGTAAATTTAGTAAGGTTCAGCATAAAAAACTCAAATATACAAATTTGAAATAAATCTTACTGTTCTGTTGGTGTTTGTTAATTTGTGTTGCTGGTACAATTTGAAATTTTCTGTTTTTTCAAACTGGAAGCAAATAAGTTAATTTCAGGAAACTTCAGTAAGAAATAAAACATACATACTTCAAGACATCATTTGACTGAAAAAGATGGTATAATAATCTGTTATCTTTATCCTTTAATGTATGCATAGTACTATAACCCCAAAAACTTGTAAGTTACAATCACCAGAGTTGCAGGCATAACCATACATTTTTATGTGTTTTGACAAAATTATGTGTCGCTGTTTTTCTTAGTGTTTTGTACCATTCACTGTATTGCTATAAACTTTTAGTTATATACATGAATCTTAATGACGCTCATATGCCAGTGCGAAAATGCGATGGCGACAATATGATAGTGCAATAATACTATCGCGTTATCGCCATCGCACTATCGTACCGTCGCCATCGCACTATCGTATTATCGTTATCGCACTGTCGCATTGTCGTCATCAAATTTTCGCACTGTCGTCATCGCGTTATCGCATTGTCGAAATCGCACTATCGCAGTGTCGTCATCGCGTTATCGCATGGCCGACTATCGCCTTCCGTTGGACAATTATAGACTGCTAACGAATAAGCTGACGGTATTGAATATGTGTAAATAATTTTTCGTTTGTCAATATACTTTTTTCTTCTTGTTTTTTCTTTTCTTTTTTTTTTCTTCTTTTGTGTTTGTTTCTTTCTTTTTTGTAAACTGAAAACGTCTAAATAAAATTATGAATTAATAAAACTCACATTTCATATCGAAAGATATGGAGAAATACGTTTAATACACGGAAAATGTAATAAATGGTGTGAAACTTTAAAAGAAGTCGAAAGATTTCAGATGAAAAAGATGTTATGTTGACAAATTAAAAAATGGAAATAAAAATGGTCCATAGATAAAGGATTTATTTTTATGGAGGTGTATGAAAATAAAAAGTTTGTGAGTTGAGGTATTATTATATACTTTTCCTCTTTTTGACAATTTGAAAGACTTGCCCTCAAATGTTGTATTTCGGCTGAATCTAGCAGAAAGTAGTCCTGAAAAAAAGAAGTGAAAATACGGCAAAATATGTTTCACTCCAGTGAAAAACAATTGTAAATACGGAAAATGAAAATACGCATTTCATTTCTAATATATAAGTTTTTTTTATGTATATCATTAATAAATCTAACTGGACAGCTTTGTTCGATATAAACAAATGCTATTTCTATTATATTAATTGGTAATCATTTGTTTTATTGTTTTGTAAGATGTCATTATATTTACTAACAGGGTGGAAAAAAGAAATGTACGTCTACACATAATTTTCGCTGTATATTTAACAAAGTGGTCAGCAATTTCCACTATAAGTTTAAGTGGTCAGCAGATTCTTCTTTATTTTTTAACTTGCCAGCAGAGTCTACTATACGTTTAACTGGTCAACAGCGGTTTTTTTTTTGCATGACGTTCATTATGTTAAATTAGCTGACCATATAAAATAAGAAGAAAACACGACAAAAAACACTTAAGCATTTTTTTTATATTTTAGTTTCTCAGCAGTAGTTCAATTGGTTTGCGATATGTAGAATCTTTTATATTTCCTAACATGATCATATAAATAAAAAATGCCTGGCAAAATAACATATTTCTCTAGATATCTAATTTGTCAACAGTTTTCATTGTAAGTGTAACTGGTCAACAGATTTTACCTAATGTTTTACCCTTTATCTCATATTTTAACGCCTTTTCATCCCGCCCCTTTTGAGGCCAAATATTGAAAGCAATGCCGTTTTTAATCCCCAAACTCTTGTATTCGTTTGAGAATTGTTATTAAAACTAGTGATCACTGCTTTCGGCGCCGCCTTTTACCTAAAAGAGACATCGGGGTGCTAGAGAAGTTACAGCTTTGATGGAAAAATCAACACAACATAGTGATCTTTAAATGTCCTCTCTCGTTGCCATGGTAACAGGAAATTTAATAGTGAACATGCCGTTTCAAAAGCTATTGTCCAGTAAACATTTGTGACAAGTTTTATCAGTATTAAGGCATTTTTATAGTTTCATAGCAATTTGAACTTGTGTAACAGGAGGCTTTTCAATGAAAACACCTATTTTTCACCAAATGCTATTGCGGTGATGGGTTAACTGGTCAGTAGTTTCTCCTATACACGTGTACCTAATGCACAGTACGTTAAGTCTGCTGACCATATAGTATAAGAAGAAAATATGGCATAAACCACAAAGTAATTTTTACTAACATTGCAAAATGAATTAGTATTTGACGGCAAATATCATTTTCCTCTGTACATTAGCAGTTTCTGAGGGTTGAGCTAAAATCACTATAAAAACAAGTGGACACAAAATCTCGTACATCTTAAATGTCTTTTTATTATTATTATTATTATTATTATTATTATTATACTTATTTAATTATATTTATTAACTATTTTTAAGAAACATAAAAGCGCTATATGTACCAAGCACCAAAGATAGCCCCATCTAAAACTTAAAGAGCGTCAATTTGGTAGGTATTGGTAGTAGGTTATTCATAATTCCCACTACCCACCTGCAGGTAGTCGGTTATTCGAACTTTGCATGTTTTCCCTTAAGTTAGTATTGTTCTGGAATATATATCATGGATATACGATAGCATGATAGATGTGCTTTTCAACATTGAAACACCTTGTCTCACTATGTCCACCAGCGGATACTCCAATATGCTGACCAATTAAACTTATAGTAGAATATGTTGTCAAGTTTAACTTACAGTGAAAATTTCTGACCACTTTTGTTAGATATATAGAAAAAATATGTGTTGATTTAAATTTCTAACTATTTTTACAATGTTAGTAATATGAAAAATTCTTACAAAACAATAAAACCACTGGTGACCAATACAAATTAATAGATATTACTTAAGTGTTTTAAGCAGTATTGACAGTACTGTGTTGAAACTTAATATTCATAAAAACAAATCCGTCACGAATTTACACGTGTGAAACATTTGCTCGAATTTCTCACACGTGTGTGACAAGTTCGTACGAATTAGACACAAAAAGGTTCTGTGAAATTATCAAGCCCTATTTTTCAACCACCTCTTTTTTCACACATGCTAGTGAGGGTTTTAAGTTAAAGGAGGTTTAACTTTGTATTGTCCGGACTGTAACTCCTGAATATTTTTAGAACGGCCATGGTTATAAAGCGAAAGGAGTTAACCCCCACGCTTTAAGGCGTTTTGCGCTAAATCAACTTATTTTAATTCGCATTTATAAGATGTTTTTGCATTTCTCAATACAATTTACTGACAAAGATGAGAAGCATTTAGGTATTGCAACTGAAGTTTTTCGATATCCTTGAAGCAGGTATCACTTAAACAAAAAAAATAGGTTAGCTGATATCAAAATACAATTCGGCATCAGAAATTGCATTCCTGGTCCAAAACAAGAAAGTAGGTGATATGGTTCCAAAAATACCAATAAGAGCTCAACTGATACCAACATTCAATTACAAACATGAAACAGATATCAGGTTCAACAGTGTGTTCCCTAATTGATTTCAAGTTTGAATCCAAATAAAAAAAAATACATTTTTTAAGAAGATTAAATTTTTAAAGATAAGCAAACAAACTCATCTTTGTTAGTAAGATACAGGAAACAAATGTAAACTTTTCCAGGCCTAATTTTATGTCATGTTGGCAAAGCTAATTACTTTCGGCCTACAATTGACTCTGCCGAAAAATTTGATTGTATGATGCACTCTGTCCAAATTTTAGAGCTGAAAGTTATTTACACTTTAAGACAAATATATTTTTTAAAAATAGACTTACTGTAGCAGCAGTTGATGGTCGGAAAAAAACTGTAAAATTAATGGTAATTAATTCAGTGTTGATCCAATGGAAAGTTTAAAGAGTAAATTAATTTTACACACTTAATGTTATGAAATGTTAATTCAAGATACACATTTATAACATTAATGTTATGGGTGGGGTGTGCTCATTATTGAAATATCAATATGTGTGACTTGAAAGAGTATTTAAGTTATTTAAAACTATCAATAAAATAACTCGTATACATTTCCATTTGGCTATTTTAAAGAAATCTGTCTTGTTTAAAACTTAAAACAATACCCAATAATAAACGCCTTATTATCCTTGATTAGGATTTTTTTCAGCAATAAATATCTTGTTTTGTAGATAAATGTCCGCCATAGGACATTGATTATTGAAAATAACTTGGAAACTTGTTATGTCTTTTGTTGTTGTAAATAAGCATTCGATTTTGATCATTAATAAATAAATAAATTAATTAATAAAGTGATTAAGTCATAGCATTCAATTTTATTTTAGCTGACATCTATAAATATTTCTTTTTGTAGCATAATTAAAATTCTGATACAGAGGACAGTTCTCGATTGGCCGAAGATTTCTTATATTGTGTTATTCTTATAGATATACATGCTTATATTCAGCTCCATCATGATTATTTACTTCAGTGTTTAACAACAGGTTTACCGTGAACGAAGTATATCGAAATTAATAAGGGTTACAAACTCTTATTTAGATAGAAAGGTATTCTTCAAGCTGACAGCTGATAACTCCCTGTGGTTGAAGGGTTTACACAGCGGTCGAGGGGGGTTTTTTTGTTTGTTTTTTTTTGTTTAAGCCAAATAAACATTGAATTCAATATCAGTGTTGCAATAAGTCTTACAGCCAATTTACTATAGTTATAACACTGGAAAGAGTGTTTTGTGACACTTTACAAACAAATTGGTTTATAATCTCACAACCTTCAACTTTTTGACATTCTGAGACCCAAACAAATTCAGCGCCTTCTGTGCTTTGATTAAGAAATGCCATGGCCTGGGGCATGTTAGCTTAATTGACCCCTAAACGGGACCAATCAAGTTTATGTAAAGAAACTTGATAAAAGCCTAAGAATGCTACAGACAAAGTTTGGTGATCATCCATCAATTAGTTCTATAGGGGACGTTTAAAGGTATTTCAATTTTTAGCTGTAGCGGCCCCTTAAAGGACCCAATCAAATTCATATGAGCAAATGTAATAAAAGACTACGTTAGAATGCTATCAAATTATTTTGAACAAATTTGATAACAGGCTATCTAAGAATGCTACTGATTAAGTTTGGTGGCCATCCGTCATTTAATTTAATAGTAGAAGATTTTGAAAGGTTATTTATGTTTTGCGCTGTTGATCCCTTAAACGCACCAATTGAAATGAAATGAGCAAGGTGCGACTGTCAAAAGGATGCTACAGACCTAATGTGAGGTAAACCTGCTAAGCAGTTTCAGAGATGATTGTTGACGCATAACGACGGACGACGGACGCGGGAGAGTAACCCCCTTTGTTACTAACAACTCACCCTGAACTTTTGGTTCTTGTGAGCTAAAAAAGGAAATGAAAACACAAAAAGAAAACGATTTATTGACAAAAGTAAAATTATTTTCCCATATTCTATAGCGTCAGCTTAATCGTCAGCAGTTAAAAACACCGGAATACGATAGTCGACAATGCGATTACGCGATGGCGAAAGTGCCACAATACGATAGCGACAATACTATAATGCTATGACAACAGTACGACATTGTGATAGTGCAACAGAGCCCTAATGACAATACGATAGTGCGATGACGACAATGCGGCAATGCGATGGCGACAATGCGATAACACCACCGCCCTGTCATTATCGTAGTATCGGATTATCGCATGTCACCAGCGCACTGTCGCCGTGTCGTCATCATATTTTGTTTATTGTCGTCATCATACTTTTGGACTATTGCTTTGTCGCCCTTTGTATTTCAATGTATAACTACGATGGCCCTAACGGTATTCCGTATTGTGTTGACGTATAAGTAAATGCTCGATTTATCGTTCGGGCCAATTTAAAATGACGTCATACTGGTACCTTTAAGTTTGAGAACATACTTATGATGGCGTCCTTACGCAGCTGACAAATTGGTGCCGATTTGTCTAACTTAAATTTTATCAAATGTTGCGAATCAAACCTGTGGTGTGAGTGTATGTGAGATATAATGTTAGCATTGTATGAAAAGAAACTTATGAAGAACAGAAAAATATCAGTAAAAATGCGTTATTATTGTTGCCTTAAGAGAGATTTGTAAACTATAGTATCGAGGGAGAAAAAAGTCGCATATATATATTTGTGTGCATGTGGTTGTGTGTCCGCGCACGTGGCGATAAAATTACAAGTGGTGTTAAAATTTCGTATAGGTTTTGCAAGTTTTTTTTCTGGCTTCACTATCAGGCACAGCTTTAAGGTTCGGTTTTATTCCTCTATCACCAAAAGTACTTATTACAGTCAGGCGCGCTTAATAACAGCTTTTGTTATATTGATTGTAGATGCCAGTATTAATATATATCAAAGCGGTGTCCAAGCTGGTAGCGGCCATTTTGAATGCGGAGAAGAATTTGTTCTTACATGCCAGATAGATAGTTATTCAGTTTCAATGGCATTACAAAATGACAGCAGCAATGTTCCACTCGCAGAATGTTTTCTGAATACATGTACATTGAACCCAGATGTAGCAAACAGATATACATTGTCAACAAATACAGCCACTGGAACCTTCAATTTGACGTTTAATGTATCAAATTACCATAACGGGACGACTTTTATGTGTGACGATGCTTCTAACTCCAAGAGTTCTTTATTCTTGATGAACGGTATCATTCTTTGTTTATACATTTTAGAGTTTGATAACATCATATACAATTTCATGCTGTAGAACGTTTTAAATATCCTTGTCTTAAGTTTCTTGCGCTTGTTACAATCGATACTCATTGTCAAGCTTGCAAATATTTAAAAGCATTATCAAATTAGGTAAGGTCCAATTACTACTATATATGTACAGAATCACTTCATGAATTTCAGATTATGAGCCAAATATAATTGAAACAAATCAAACACAGTTGGAAGTGATGTCTGGATGCATAAATTCGGGTGTAACTGTTACATTTTTATGGAAGAAAGTAGAGGTAATACTGTATGAAAATTTGCAATGTAATGTCCTTCCTAAATCAAAGATTAAAGTCTAAAAACAATCAAGAAAAGTGACCTCATAGCATGACTTCAGATTACACTTCCAAATAAACATAACTGTGAAATTCAAGATTATGATCGATATAAACGCTCTTATAATGGTAAATTACAATATTTTTGGTTAGATTTTCTTTAAGACGGAACAAAAATATCAATACATTCCCGTGGCACTGGATTTTGAATTACATTCAAAACTAAAAATGATAAAAAAGCAAATTTCATAGCAACTTATATTACCTTAATATGTACATCCAACTATTTCTTTGCAAGGTCATGTTGCATGTCGAATTATTTATTGATTGTTGTCACTGAAGCACAAAATATTTCTTTTTTTTTAAACATGCACTTATCATTTGAATAAAATGTGCGGAACGTTCTATAATTTTAAATTATATTTTAGATAACAATAAATTTGGCATTGTCGGTCTTAAATCCGAATAAAAGTTTAACGTTCATATATAATCTTATTGACTAAAACTGATATCCTTAGAAACTTACTAGAAATTTTTAAGGGTTTTCTATTTTTCAAAGTGTAGATGTAGATCACAATCACAATTTTGGAATGCCGCAAAATTTGATAACTTATATACATTATTTACTTAAAAGTTATAATCATTAGAAAAATATAGAGTGTTTCTTTCATTTTTGAATGCAAACTTGTAAATATGAAGTAAGTTTTGCTTTGTGTTGAAGTAGTTAAAACCCTTTAAATGCAAGTGTGTTGGAATTTCGTGACTTACAATGTTTTTATGCCCCCACAGAGTGGGAGCATATAGCGTTGCACTTGTCCGTCCGTCTGTCCGTCCGTACGTCTGTCCGTCCGTCCGTCCGTCTGTCCGTACGTCCCGAAATCTTGTGAACGCAACTCCTCTTAAACCGGATGGCAGATTTTGCTTAAACTTCCAGGGATGAACAACCCTAATGTGTAGATGATAGTAAAGGAAGGAATTTTTGCTGTGACAAAATTTAACAGAATTATGGCCCTTTGTTGATTTTTTCACTATATACCATATAGAAATTTTGTTAACGCAACTCCTCTTAAACCGGATGGCAGATTTTGCTTAAACTTCCAGGGATGAACAACCCTAATGTGTAGATGATAGTAAAGGAAGGAATTTTTGCTGTGACCAAATTTAACAGAATTATGGCCCTTTGTTGATTTTTTCACTATATACCATATAGAAATTTTGTTAACGCAACTCCTCTTAAACCGGATGGCAGATTTTGCTTTAACTTCCAGGGATGAACAACCCTAATGTGTAGATGATAGTAAAGGAAGGAATTTTTGCTGTGACCAAATTTAACAGAATTATGGCCCTTTGTTGATTTTTTCACTATAGTCTATATACCATATAGAAATTTTGTGAACGCAACTCCTCTTAAACCGGATGGCAGATTTTGCTTAAACTTCCAGGGATGAACAACCTTAATGTGTAGATGGTAGTAAAGGAAGGAATTTTTGCTGCGACCAAATTTAACAGAATTATGGCCCTTTGTTGATTTTTTCACTATATACCATATATATGTTGTCAGTGGGGGCATCCGTGTCCTTTGGACACAGTTCTAGTTTTATTATGAGTTCGAGCTTGAAAAGTTGTATCATTTGTTCATTCATAATTTATGTTTTATTTGTTTGGTTTTTAATGTTGCTGAAGGCAGAGCAATGCATTTTGATTATAATCACATTATCTAAACGTAAAACTATAAAATATTATGGAAAGCCATGCCTGTCTGATATTGTTCTTTTAATTTATGTAACCATTTGAATCATATATGAGTTCACTTCGACAATATATGAATTGAAAACACATTATTATTAAACCGGAATCCATTATATTTATCCACAGTAACAATATATGAAACCATACTGTCAGTGTATGAAACCGAGATAGCAATATATCAGTTGATTTTCTCAATATATGATTCCAATTCTTCAATATATGGTACCAAAGTAGCCATGTATGGAACAAGATGTCCTTATATGAAACCGAATTATCAATATATTAATTCATTTTTCAATATATGAAACCAATGTATCAATTTATGAAACCAAAGTAGAAATATATGAGTTGGTTATTACAATATATGATACCAATTATTCAATATATGGAACCAAAGTAACAATGTATAGAACCAGGTGTCCTTATATGAAACCAAATTATCAATATATTAATTCATTTTTACAATATATGAAACCAGTTTATTAATGTATGGAGCCTAAGTATCAATATATAAGTTGATTATCACATTATATGATACCAGATCTTCAATATATGGATCCAAGGAAGTCATGTATGGAACCAGATGCCCTTATATGAAACCGAATTATTAATATATTAAATCAATTTTACAATATATGAAACCATTTTATCAATATATGTAACCGAAGTAGCAATATATAAGTTGATTTTCACATTATATGATACCAGTTCTTCAACATATGATACCAAAGTAGCAATATATTGAACCAAAATGTCATTATATTGACGGGACTTTTTTTAAAGCCTTGCACCGGTATTACAGTTTCGCGTCAATATTCCTTGGTGCTTCACTGACTGCATACTGCACATTTTCTGAATAAGGAAATATTTGAATTTACTTAAAATGGGCCGGGCAGGCAAAACTTATATCGTTATATATGTAGGAGTTGTATGTCATAATTTAAGCTATTGAGTCGTACATGTACTGACCATTAACAAAAACATATTTAAAAAATAAGTTCATCTCGACCTTTACCTTTGATCAAAAATAGGCATGGCCAGAAGGACACATCAAGGTTAATCTACTCACAAAGTTTAAAAAATAATCAGTCAAATAATAATTGATTTCATGAAAAGGTGTATGCATTATAATGAAAATTGCTATCATAGAATGTAACATCAACTTATATACTGCTACTTTGGTTCCATACATTAATAAAATGGTTTCATATATTGTAAAAATAACTTAATATATTGATAATTCGGTTTCATATAAGGGCATCTGGTCCCATATATGGCTTTTTTGGTACCATATATTGAAGAGCTGGTGTCATATAAAGTGATAATCAAGTCATATATTGCTACTTTGGTTCCATACATTGATAAATTGGTTTCATATATTGTAAAAATGAATTAATATATTGATAATTCGGTTTCATATAAGGACATCTGGTTCCATATATGGCTATTTTGGTACCATATATTGAAGAATTGGTATCATATAATGTAATAACCAACTCATATATTGCTACTTTGGTCCCATACATTGATAAATTGGTTTCATATATTGTAAAAATGAATTAATATATTGATAATTCGGTTTCCTATCAGGACATCTGGTTCCATATATGGCTACTTTGGTACCATATATTGAAGAATTGGTATCATATAATGTAATAACCAACTTATATATTTCTACTTTGGTTTTATAAATTGATACATTGGTTTCATATATTGAAAAATGAATTAATATATTGATAATTCGGTTTCATATAAGGACATCTTGTTCCATACATGGCTACTTTGGTACCATATATTGAAGAATTGGAATCATATATTGAGAAAATCAACTTATATATTGCTAACTCGGTTTCATACACTGACAGTATGGTTTCATGTATTGTAACTGTGGATTAATACAATGGATTCCGGTTAAATTTCAATTCATATATAGTCGAAGTGAACTCATATAAAAAATTATTATCCAAATGGTTACATAAATTGAAAAAGAACAATATCAGACAGCCATGGCTTTCCATAAAATATACCACAAACTGATTTTATCATGTGTAGTGCATATACTATTACATGTAGTTCCATGCATGTTTATAATGCCAGCTAATTAAAAGTTAATGCAATGATATAATGATATAATAATATCAATAGTATGTAATGAAATTAAATATAATCTAAACATCGACATGTTGGCAAAAAACAAAGCTTAAACATTTTATATATTACTTTAGAATTCCTTTTAAATATTTTATAATTTATCAACAGACTATGGAAAAAAACAATTACATGACATTTAAAGTAAAAAAGAATTAAAAAAAAACGTTTGTTATTATAAAATTATATTAACAATATTTATATATATATATATATATATATATATATATATATATATATTACATGACATTTAAAGTAAAAAAAGAATTAAAAAAAAAAACGTTTGTTAGTATAAAATTATATTAACAATATATATATATATATATATATATATATATATATATATATATATATATATATATATATATATATATATAATATATATATATATATATATATATATATATATATTTATATATATATTCGTACAATACTATATAAAGTCCTTCGCTTTTTTAAACTTAGTTGTCATCTTTTGCTTATGAAAGTATTGATTAGTCCAATGGAAAACATAAGCAAAGCAACAGAACTAATTCAGGAAAACATTTAAATTATTGTTATACTTAATATTTCAAGAATGGAATGGCGGAAAAGAGAAACATTACATTTTGTTAATATCAATTGCCCACTTAAGATCATGTATGTCAGTAGGTAACGGAGACGTTAGGTAAACTTTTCTTTTAAATTTCTATAAATGTTGATTTACATTCACTTGATCATTCTTCAAAAGTTATTCTTTGACGTATTCTACAAAAAGGCCTTTGAAAAGCTTTCGCGAAAAGGTTTTATAAATGCAGTTAATAACATCTCCAATTTTCATAATATGTTTAATGTTGTTGTTTTTTCTTTTGTTAAAGGCAAAGACCATGACTGAAAGTGAATACAAATTTGATTTTTCAAACAAACACGAGTATTCTAATGCAACCATCTGTGAATTAGACGAAGAATGTGGTGGACAAGGTTTGATAAAAAGAATCATATCGATAGATGTAGAGGAAGAAGGGACAGACGAATACTATCTGAAAGCAATATTGTCTTACCCCGGCGTTAAAAAGGAAATACTTACAAGTAAAACATACAAGATCAAACAAGGCAAGAACATGTCATAGAGTAATTTGATATATGTATATAATAAGTACCGGAAAAAAGTCACATATAAATAAAACAAAAAACACAGTCCATCATTTAAGTTATTTAATTATTTGATTAATTATTTAATAATAAGTTAACACATGGATTGTGTTTTTGTTTTATATATATATACTAATATGAAAAAGGCAAAGCCTCAGAGCGAGCTCGATGTATTTTTAACGTGAAATAGTATGAAATAATCGCTCATTTTTATTTCAGTGACGAGTGCGTGTGACGTCACACGTACTTTGTTAAATATGGATCCACCCCTGTCGTTAAATGAATAACGAGTTTTGAAAACGTTGATAAAACTTTGTTTGTTTATCTTATTTCACTCTATAATTTTTCAAGCGAAATAAAGATTATTAAAAGTGAAATAAATGTAAAACTTAACACGTTTGCAACATTAAAATAGCGTATTTGATCACGTGCTGTTTGGCGCTACATTGTGACGTCACGTAAACAATACTTTAAACGTCTGTACAGCGTTAACGAATGAATATTAATATAATGTTCGGATTCATTTTCTTAGTTAGACCATTTTCTTTCATTCTAGATAGTTTTCACAACAAATTTCGACAAAAAATTGTTTTTATTTATAAGATTTTTCAAACAGAATGGCGCCTTCAATGTGAAAATACACGGGGAAATAATAAGAACGGCGAGTGCATTGTCGTAGAATTGTCGGACCTTCTTTGTTTATATAAAGAATTTTCCGATAGTGTTAGTCTAAGAATGTTTTGTTTCTTCAAAAAGAGGATGTGAATGTTCATTTAATGAAATCAGGCAAACCCTATGTACGAGAATAATCGTTCAATTTTCATTTTACATTTTTCGTTTTAAAACTGTCATTCGATATTTTATACACATCTTCCGTTATTCTGGTTCCTTTTCCAATTATGGTTCCCATAGACGTGCGCGGGTGACCAGTCAACACATCCGTTTTCAGCCAGAATTCCTTAGTTTTTATCGTTATCTTTAAATTCGAAAAGTTGCGATGTGTCCAATTCGGTACTTCGGACGAAAATTTTCAAAACCATCACTTTGCAGGTACTCACGTTACCGTAAAGCTCGCTTTGGGAGCAGGCCCCTCGAGCCAGCTCGTCGAGCTCGCTATAAGATGATTTGCTGAAGATTTAGTTTAGTTCTTATTTGATGATTTTATTTTTCAAATCGGGCATTTCAAATCTGGTATTTACCACCCAATATACGACTGACGTAGAATTAACAAGATTTTTGTTGTTGTTGTTGTTTTTGTTACAAAAAAGCAGACTTCTAGAAAGAAGAAATTCTTAATTATCATGGTAAAATTAAGACCATTTAGATCTATCAGAATGTTTACCAGTGCATATCAATATTATTAACTTAACATATACTTCTTATTCGGTTAAACAAAAAATCTGCTCTGTACTATTAATTAAGTTAAGCATAGCACAAAAATATTTTGATGAGGCGGCTGACTGGAATGAGTCATCTATGAAAATTCTTTACACTATGAATGTTTTGAAACAAAATTACATGTTTCCAAACTATGTGTTCTGTATATGCTCCAATTTAATTGGTAAAGCCAGTGCCTTTGAAGCTTGTGTTTGTAGTTTATCTATGCACTTAATACCATACGTTTTTCGATTCATTATAAGAAAGTATTTAATTTTCAGCATTAAGAATTTAGTATTTTGGTATTTCTGTAAGATTTCTGTCCACAAATGCTGATTTGCATGCATGACTGTTCTCACATCTTTGCCGTTTTAAACCATCAAACAACCAAAAATACTCAGTCATGTTATTTGATCGTGTTTGAACATACATATTAGAAAAAATGATCACTATTGATTTGACTTATAATGAGTGTAATTGCATACAAGAATAAAAAGGAATAACTAATTAGTCATACACTCAAATTGAATTAAACATATCTTTAACATTAAATAAAGACGTTTATTTTAATAGCACTAATAGACATATACTTTTTCAATAGCATTACATTTTGTTTTTGCTTTCATTAAAAATGATTTTATGTAAATTAGCGTCATACTGTAATTTATTATCCGTCCGTCGTAAAGGCTTCTTGTGTTAGTGAACCGGATATGTCAAACACAAATTTATCTACAAGCGTGATGCTTTTGGGGAAATTTCCGCATAGAATATATGATATACATACATAAAAAAGGGAATTTCAACGAGTTCGATGCATTGAATTGAAATATTCTTAGCAAGCATTCATTTCATGGTTTAAGGGTGGCCGTTTAATAAAACATTTTACTGTTCTGAAATTATTGGCGTTTGGCGTTGCATATCGTACACATATAGCGTTACATATCAAATATTGGCAAGTTTCTATATTTCTGGAAATAATTGGCAAAGCTAACACTAAAATACATTTTTTTTGTTCTTTATAATCATTATTCTTTTATATAAAATTGAATATGTTCAAGAAATGCTTTTTTATCGATGTCATCATGAGCAGTTTTTCATGTGAAATTAAGTGTATTTTTCAGACTTTAAAAATGACACAAAAATTTTGCGACGATATTTGGTGATTGGTAATTTGAATTAATTTATGTTGGTTTTTTTTTGTTTTTTTTTTCTTTTGAAATTTAAGTTATTTATCAATTTTAGCTTCGCTTTTCTCTAAACAGCCGTGGCAATGTGAGATTGTAACCAAAATAAAATTGAGGTACCACATGGGGAAATCTTTAAAAAGTAGTCTCGTCATTGAAATGTATGAAATTATATTTTTATAATTTTCACTGTGAAATTGTCAAGTATAACATTCAAAGATAAATCACTTATTCACTGAAAAACATAAAATTACGTAATTATTTGTATATCAATTAACTAGTATGTTCATCAAAACATTCTTGATAAGACTTATTTTTTCCACATTTTGTTTTTAATATTTCAATTATGAAAGTTATTAATCATTCCTTTTTATCTAGAAAGAAATTAATTAATGAAAATACCTTTTCAGGTTTAATACCATTTCTATACTGATTGCAAAGGTAAAGATTGACAACTTTCACCTTGATTTTAATATGGTTAGTTTCATTTACCCATGGTACTAGATTGGACCGAGAAATATCGATTTTACTTACAGTAGCAAGGCGTTTGTACAAAAATGAGACGATGAAATGTAACTTACATTGTTGACTTTTCTCAAACTTGATAGACTTGCATTTATTATGCAGATAATGCCATATTAGTTTAAAATCGCTACATTTTAACATTTACACATTAATCCTTGTTTCACCACAAAAATGTCTGTGTGGAATCGAGATGAGATTTTGACCAAGAACAAAAATATCTCAGAAGCTAGCTTTGACACTTTTTTGACAATAATAGAAGCTGTAATAGTATCTGAAGTGGCAGCTGAAGAAACTGTAGAAATGAAATCGATAGAAGTGTAAGTAGAGGTAGTATTTATTGATATAACTGTAGCATCAATAGCGATAGTTACAGTAGTATTTCTTACTGATAGACGTATAGTATAAGTTGATGTGTAATTGCTGGTAATGTAAGCTGATGATACTGTTAAAATGATAGTACTGTTTGTGATGAAAATGCTACCTGCTGAAGGCGGCGGGGGATAAAGAAATAGTCTCCGTCCGTCCGTCCGTCCTTCCTTCGCCCGTCCGTCCTTCCGTCCGACATTTTTAGTCTGGAGCAAATCTCAAAAAGTATTTGAGGTATCAACTTGAAAATTCATAGGTGGATAGATCATATTAAAGATGAATGCAGTGCACAAGAATGATAACTCTACCATGCATAATTTTTAAGTTATTCCTCTTTGTTATTTTTCAAACTTAAATTTTGTCCAGAGCATAACTCACAAAGCCTTTGAGATATCAACATGAAATTTCATAGGTGGATAGATCTCACTCAGAAGGTGTGCAGTACACAAGAATGATAATTATATCTTTTATAAATTTTCAGTTATTGCCCTTTGTTATTTTTCATACTTATTTTTCACCTTAGTGGAGCATAATTCAAAAGTCTTGGAGATGTCAACATGAAACTTCATATGTGGCTAAATCTTATTGAGGAAGAGTGCAGCAAACACGAATGATAACTCTACCCTGCCTAATTTTTACGTTTTTGCCCTTTGTTATTTGTTATACTTAATTTTTGTCCAGAGCATAACTAAAAAAATGTTAGAGGTGTCAACTTGAAACTTCATAGGTGGACAGATCGCATTAAGGAGGAGTGCAGCACACAATAATGAAAACTCTACCTGCATAATTTTTCAGTTATTGCCCTTTGTTATTTTTCATGCTTAATTTGTGTCCAGAGCATTACTTAAAAGCCTTTAAGATATCAACATGAAACTTCATAGGTGGATAAGTCTCATCGATGCGGAGTTCAGCACACAATAATGATATCTCTACCCTGCATATGTTTAAAGTTATTGCCCTTTGTTATTTTTTAAGCTTAATGTTTGTCCAGATCATAACTATAAAAGCCTTTGAGATATCAACTTGAAACTTCATAGGTGGATAGATCTCATTGAGGAGTAGTGCAGCGCGCAAGAATCATAACCTACCCTGCATTTTTTCGTTATTGCCTTTTATTATTTTCAGCCATCAGTATTCACATAGGTTTCAAATTTGTAATCACTTCAGCCATCAGTTTTCATTTCCAAAAGACCTCTTAAAATTGAATTATTCTGCTCTACTACATATACATTCTTCCAATTTGGCGAGGGATGGCCATGTTGACATGACTCTTGTTGATAGTAGTGTAAGTCGTGTTAATGGAACTGTAGCATTGTAAGTACTGTAAGTGGTAATCTTAATTATTGAAATCGTCGCTATAGTAATAGTATTGTAAGTCGAATAACATGTCGATATGCAACGTAAAACGTCTGACTTAGGCCGTTTTGCGAACGGGACGTTACGCGGTGTGATAAGGCACCTTAAATGCAATTACATAAATTAGTTTATGAATATTTTGAGACAATAATTATTGATTTACTTCTTTAAAGATAACAGAAAGATTAACATAAAAGAAATTCTGAACATGAAGTTTATGTGCCGCTTAATTGATTTGTTTTGTGTTGTGTGATAATACGCTTTCTTTTAATTATAATAAATAGATTACGTATTTTTAAATGCGTGCTAGCGTGTTTTGATTGTAGTGAAACAGGGTTATATAATATTTAGATACCTAACGGACAACGTATTTCTGAAATATATAACTATGAACCATAATAGCTGAAAGTATGCATGACATAAACATCATACATTTTTGGTGAAAATAAATGGCTCATTGCTTTGTAAATTGTAGCTAATATATGACTGAAATACTTTAAGCGATTGTAACATTTCCTATATGTAGCTGAAAACGAACCAGCCTTACAGAAAGATTAACGTATTTCAGACGGATTTTGTGTCATGTCGTTTCAGGTTTCACAAATGTGACACAAACTCCTGACAATAAGACGTCATTAGTCAATAATAAAACGGCGAGTGATGTGCGAGATCAAAGTGAGGGGGGATATCTTATGTTATGGATAGGATTAGGATGTGATATTATTCTGTTTTCTTTTGGGATGATTGTTTACGTGACTGTTTATATATTTTATAATCGTTAAAGGACAATAATAGCAACATTATGATTAACAAATTTAATTGTAACAACGTTATGTACATGTACAAAGCTTTACCGTGACGATAAGATGATTTGTAAAGTACAAATGCAATGCTGTATACTGTTAAAAGTATGGATACAAACAACGATAAAATATTGGTGCATTCATTTGCAAGGTACAAACATATACAAATTTTAAGAACGACTTAAGAAATAATGATCCAACGTGTATCGAATAAATGGAAGTAAATCGCTGCCAATTAACATCCTGCTGTTACAGATTTAATGTGCATAAATTCAAGTAAATTCGTTCATTGATCTTTTAAAATGTATGTGCCAGGCTGCATTCTTACATTACAAATTGCTGTTATTTTAATTCATGGAAAAAAATGCTTTCATCTTTTCATTTGTTCATTTTTTTACAAAATTATTTCTTTTAACTGCGGATGAAGAGATAACTCCCAAATATTGGTATAACACTTGTTTAAGCCTTTCCCTCATTAGCATATTGTGAAAAAATGGCCGTTTTCATTGAAAGGCCTCCTTTTACAAGTTCAAACTGCTATGAAACTATGGAATATGCTTCAATACTAATCAAAATTGGCACAACTGTTGACTGGACCATTGCCTTTGTAACGACATGCTCAGTCTTAAATTTCCTGTTATCATGGCAACGAGGGGACATCTCAAAATTGCCAAAAATCATGAGGCCCCCTTCAAACCCCCAAACAGAAGGGGACCCATCCCCATTCTGGCACCCCCCTGATGTATCTTTTGGATGGGGGTGGCGCCAAAAAAATGCTCACTTTCATAGCAACATATTATAAACGAAAACATGTGTTTGGGCCCAACCAGGACATTTTTTCGCTATTTGAGGCCTAGAAGAGGGGGGGGGGGGGGTCGAAAGTGCGTTTTTTTGCGTATATATGAGGTAAAGGGTTAATATTTTACTGACTATTTTTCTATGAACCTTAAGCTGATTATCTTAAAAAAAGTAATAAAATAAAAAAAAATAAAAAGGATGTCTATGTTTCTCTTACCGAATTTCATAAGGGAAGTTAATCGCTTTCGGGGGCCGGGCTTTGCTTTGACCGACTATAGTATATGTACAAGTGTTCATTTAATTGAAAGTAAATCTATATGCTCGTAAAAACAGGTCCATTTGCCGTTTTGGTCACCCCTTTTTTGAAATAAAAAGAGCAATCAGTGATCAATGTTTTGTTTGATGATAGCCAATTGCATGTTGCAACTGCTGTGAAACAGGCAACACAAAAGTCATTAAGATGACAAAACACGTTTTTTATTCAATTCAGCTAAAATCATTTAACAGGAAAGACCGTTTACAATGCACAAGAACTTGAGGTACCAATCAATCCTATAAAACTTCATTTTAATTTGAATCAGTTGTATATGAGAAGTTGTAAAACATGAACAACAGATCATTAAAGGGCCATAACTCTGACAAAAATCATTGAACTGGAAAATGTGGACGTTTCACACAAGAAGACTTAGTATCGATGATTCATGTAAACATAAATGAATTCGATAACGATTATCCTCGTTCTAGCAGTAAAAATATAACTGGCATATGCATTTTGTTTATTAATTATTACCAAGAAAATTAAACACAAACAATATTTATATAATGCTTTCTTGATATTACTTGATGATTGCTGCTTCCTTCATTCGATAAAATGTCATGCGACAAATTTCGTTTGGCTGCGGTAAACAAACATGTTATTACACTTAAAAAACATAATAAACATTAGGGCATTTCTTAAATCTTTAATAAATACATGCTATGGCACCATCATGATGGTTGATACATACAACAAAATATTTAATAGAGGTTTAAAAAAAACACAAACACACAATAAAAAACATATTCAATTCACCATTAAATGATTCAAAATTAGATAAAATGATTCCTAACAGCTGAGAAAGAGAGATTATTATCTAGCAGTATCTATTTATTGGCAGTGAAAACATCTTCATGTAAGAAAAGAATTAAAATAGTAAGCAGGTAGAAGGAACACTCCTCTATATAACAAAAACTGCAATTGATTATGATAGAATGCAGTATGGCATAACCATCTTAAAGGTTCAATGAACGAATTTATTTGCATGCACATAGAGTTTACAATATAAGAAAACAGTATTTTGGCAGCAAAAATCTTCCATTCACAAATAATAGTTGAGATTACAAGTTCTAATCCGTCAGTGAATAAGTTCGGATGTAGTTCATGTTTCCTTGTTACTGGAAATCTGTTTAGTTTTGTTTTTGTGTCACTTTGTGTTTTTTTTTCTTTCTTTTTATTTATTCATTATTCAGTGTATAAAACCAATCTTTCCTTATGCGTTGACATATCTCATTTATTTGCACCATCGTGTAAATAACTTACATTATAAAACGTTTCTATGTTTTGCAGACTAGATTTATAAGTATAATGTTTCAATAGCAATGTAATATAATCCTCTGTCATTTAGTATGCAGATACTTTGTTTAGATAAATGGAAAGTTCCATTAAGAATTGCTTTTATTAAATAAACATGCGCGCCATAACTATATACACTATCACACATTTCCAAAATGAATTTCTTTGCGTTAGCATTGCAAATGAACAGTTATCATCTCCCCTCATTTTTTTTATTTTTAAACAATAAGATTGTTATGTTTGTATGAAATGACATGCACAACTGTTTGCTGAGAGACGAGCTTTTTGCTGGTTGCCTGTCCTTTATCGTCCCTCGATATCTGCATCTTTAAACAACATTTCCTCTCCTTGACCATGAGTAATAACGACCAATCTTAACAGAATAAACGCGGTCTTTAAATTTTACTACATCATTTTTGGATTTTCATATAACAGTTGATAACAATACTTTTATAAAAAGCTCTATGAAAATCTATGATAAGTGACATAACAGTCAATTTTCCATATTTAAATGGAAATATACCGCATACAACATCGGCGGTATATGTATCTCAGTTAATTAGATTCGCTAGGACTTGTAGCCATCTGAATGATTTTAACGGACGGAAATTTTCATTACAAGCAGACTGTTCAACCAGGGCTACCGCTATTACAAATTAAGGAAATATTTAAGTTTTATTATTGTTTTCTTCGATTTAAGTTCGAAATTCAAGCGATTTGCAAACTCGTCTGCGACTGGGATATGTAAGCCTGATTTCTAACGAGACGTCATTTACAAACTTCGTTTGGTCTTCGTTCATGGTAAATTTGCGACTGCCTTTAAAAAAAATAAACGTTTTGGGTTATGAGCCTACAGGGGCTACACTGAGGTCTGACAGGTAATTTGGTGTCCAAAAAAATGTAAACAAATTTCCTCACAAACCACAATATTATAATTAAAATAACAATAACTTACACTTTAACTCAACCTCTGCTAACAGACCAAGTATGGCTAGAAAATGCATTATCACATTAGCTTTTGATGCAAAAATGAAAGTTGGTTTTCCAGGCGGCATTGTACAGAAGTTACCCACAATTCATCGGGTATGACTTAAAAATACGCAACGGAAGCATTTTTGAACACAACATGAGTAAACCGGGGTAAAAAAGTCTATTGATTTTTTCTCAACACTTGTAACCTATGCATGTTTATATAACTTGAAGTATAACGAAGAAAAAACTGTATAAAAGATAAATCAAGGTAGCAATTTTCGTTGGTCTTGAAAAAATCAAACGCCAAGCGAAGCGGACATTTTCCTAGACAAAAGGAAAGATATATATATACATGTACAATTATTTCCATTGACATTTCAGTTTTAATTTCAATATTCCTAAGGCAAACATTAATGCAATACGTGATTATTTATACTATAACGAGCACAGTGTAATCGAGAGACGACAATAAATGTATTTAACGCTATCTATAAGCGTATTAAATCAAATACAGTTAATGACTATTTCTATTTGATTTGATTGTTTGTTTTTTGGAATGAAATGGGGGTTACGTAACACAAAAACTGTGGTAGGTCAGTTTGGCGACGCTTCAAGTTTTACTAGTCGGAGAAAGAACTCAGGTGGCCCCCTTTGCAAAATTGTTTCTGGCACAAACGGGCATCTGTGTAATGTAATTGAGCGACGTTAGGCTATCTTCTTGATAGGATCGTAACATACACGTTCCACACACAATTACATTAATTCATACCATATAGGCAAAATTGAAATGTACGTTCCGTTGTAAGCATATGAAACCCCAGATAAAAATAACCCTAATAGAACACAGCTTCTGAATGTGGCATTTCCTAATCGGTTATTCAACAAACCAATAAAAAAAGGAATGAAGTACATCGAATGGGCATGCTCTGGAGTGTTGGAACTTATTACCTGACTCCAGTTAACGCACTTTGCATGTATATGAATTCGATTTAACTTCTGACACGTTTTCAACAGAAATGTCCTTCAAACTATGATACAATAAATGTTTAATGATTCTGTTAGAAACTTGTTTAGAAATTTAATGATTTTTCGGTGAAAACGGATATAGTTTACTGATTGTACTACATATAAGATCAAAGTGCTGAAGGCACTGAAGAAAAAAACGGATAAACTAACACATTTTCACTCAGTTTCACAGGTAAAGTTAAGATTTTATATGTCGCGGTTTACATTTTAATATCAGCTAACCTTTTGCTTTTTTGAGGACTTTTTGTTTTTGAGAATACATCTAACGAGTAAAATAAACCCCTTTTTATGGGCAAATAATTTTAATAAGTGGCATCCCCGATTTTTCTCTTTCAATAAATTGGCTTTAGCAAATTCTTTTCTTTTCAAATATTAAGAACATTCTGTCAGTGACGTGTCTTCTACTTGAAATCTTCCTGGTGTGTATTTTTCGGTAACATGAAAGAAAATGACAGTCTGTCGTAAATCTTTTCGGTAACAGGAAAGAAAATGACAGTCTTGTTCATTTGATCATGACTGTGAAAAAATCATGTTTTGTGAAACCAATTTTTTCCTGCCCGATAAAGATTTTGCATAGCAATCTAGTGGTTTATTTCTAGTGCTTACACTTAGTATTTATTCCAAAGAACATTTTTTTAGGAGACCTTTAACTGTTTGATTAAGGTATAATCACTATAACCGAAATACTTAGGAATTAATTTTAATTCCTTGTGACCTAATGAAATTTTTTCGTTCAATCGGGTTTAAAATACTTCAGTAGCCCTCTATAAATTTTTCAAAAACGATATCCAGTATTTCCGAAAACAATTAACAAAGTATTGCAAGTATTACGAGAACCAACCCACCTAATCGTCCAGAACATACATACGAAAAACAAGAATAAATCAAAAGGCCTGCAAGCTCTGGTGGTATTTTTTGATCTTTGCAATCTAAATCGCACTGTAATAACTGTAATTATTTTCCTGGTATAAGTTTATTTTAAATGTACTATAATTCTTGCTTGCTTGGTACCAGAGTTTGATACATATGAATTTTGCATGAACTAGAGTTGCAATCAAAAAATCATTTTATGTTCATTTTTATGACAAGCCACTACTTTATCCTTGCATATCGTGGGCTATTTCCTTAACAAAGAAACTTTATAAAAAATAATTGCCTTGATTTAAGCTGGTGCTAGGGGGCGTGGACGGTAACTTGCACATTCCAGTAATGTCCATGAACAGGCTCAATCAAACCGAACCTGCAACATTTTCAATTTTGCCGTGTTGGGCTTTCTTCAGGGATTCTGTATTTATCTATTTTTTGAATTTGATTTGAACCCCAGACACACTAAACGAGCGCGTTACCCTCGCACCACGGAGAAGATATACGAAACAATGCTGAATAAAATCAAGTAAATTCTAAATTAGATTTTTCATGCATTTCGTGTTTGTAATTCTTATTAATTTCGAGGTTTTTGTTCAAGATAAACCTTTTTGTTTAACAATGATGTAAATAATTTTACAAAAAAATCTTCTCGCCAAAAAAACAGTCCGACAGTATATATTCCACTACTCGACAGTCAGATTTATTTTTGAAATACGCTCTCGACATCGCTTAAAATAGCATTTTCATTGATTAAAAATGATATTCATCCGCGTAATTTGTGAATGTGCATTCATGACAATTCTATAACCCCAAAGCTACTTTTAAACTTTGAATGCGTTGTAATTTGTTAGATTCTTATAAACAAAATGAAAATATTCTTTCTTTTAAAATCGCTTTTTTCAGCTGTTTGAAGAACTGCTTGTTGTTAGGTTTGTCGTGAAACCGCTGTGTCAGAGATTGACTGTTAGCTTTGTATGTTCCTGATCTTCGATCAGAAATACAAAAAGGAATGGTAAAACATTCAATGAATGCAACACGCACACACGACCAAGCAACACAGATCCAAACAGCTAAATTATCAATGAAAAATTTAATTTCAGGCTTTCAAGTGGTAAATAAAAAGACTAAACAAAAAAAAATGAAAAAACAGAAGAAAGAAGAGACAAAAGTAGAGAAAAGTAAAGGTTTTAGTGCTATTAAGGAAGAAAAGCAGGGTTCTCTTCCTAACATATTTACT